CAATAATATGAATAACAGTCCCTCATCCATACCCAGCCCTAGGCATATTCCCCAGCCCAGTAAGCATCTGGAGTATTTAATATAGACACATGTATGAATGGGAAGGCCACCATCCAGGTTATGGGAGTGGCAGGGTATACAGTATCATGGTGAGTAATGTATCTCTCCTCCTACCCCTCTTCCACACACCAATAATGCAACTATTACTATGGTTAGTAGCTCAATTTAATGGTACTACAATAGCACATTTTTAGGGCCCTCTATTTGAGCCATTTGTGGTTTGAAGGGAGAGGGTAAGACCCATGACCCTCAACAGTAGATATTTTATTAAAGAACCATACACACATTTATGGCCAATTTGACTTGGTAGATACTTAATAGTATTATGCTTGAGTATATATATGTATTTAAATATGTGGCGCAAAGATATGAGGAGGGGGAGGAGGAGCACATACCTCATCAGTCACCATGTCCTCCTGTCATGAATAACGCATATCGCATGCTCTAGGTAGACTCTACGGGTGTGTAATATGTATACCTTAATATTTTAGTAGTCACAGTTAGAGAATAGATGCTTGGGTGAGATGGTATTAAAGCAAGGAGGATATCTGCATAAAAAGCATGAAAATCGTCCACTGTCACATAAATACATCAAGTAAAAATAATATATATACCTAGGCATGTACTCATACATTCTAAGAGCTAGCTGAAAAAGAGTTTACGAAATTAGAGCAAGATTGAGGTGAGATATGGTAAAGGAACTCCCAAAGAAGGGTAGATAGTAAGATGCAAATTACAGTCACATGTAGTGACCGAGTTTCTGCCCTTCAAAATTCACTGTCTCATCCATATCTCACCTCAATCTTGCTCTAATTTCGTAAACTCTTTTTCAGCTAGCTCTTAGAATGTATGAGTACATGCCTAGGTATATATATTATTTTTACTTGATGTATTTATGTGACAGTGGACGATTTTCATGCTTTTTATGCAGATATCCTCCTTGCTTTAATACCATCTCACCCAAGCATCTATTCTCTAACTGTGACTACTAAAATATTAAGGTATACATATTACACACCCGTAGAGTCTACCTAGAGCATGCGATATGCGTTATTCATGACAGGAGGACATGGTGACTGATGAGGTATGTGCTCCTCCTCCCCCTCCTCATATCTTTGCCCACATGTGCGGCGCTCCATATTTAAATACATATATATACTCAAGCATAATACTATTAAGTATCTACCAAGTCAAATTGGCCATAAATGTGTGTATGGTTCTTTAATAAAATATCTACTGTTGAGGGTCATGGGTCTTACCCTCTCCCTTCAAACCACAAATGGCTCAAATAGAGGGCCCTAAAAATGTGCTATTGTAGTACCATTAAATTGAGCTACTAACCATAGTAATAGTTGCATTATTGGTGTGTGGAAGAGGGGTAGGAGGAGAGATACATTACTCACCATGATACTGTATACCCTGCCACTCCCATAACCTGGATGGTGGCCTTCCCATTCATACATGTGTCTATATTAAATACTCCAGATGCTTACTGGGCTGGGGAATATGCCTAGGGCTGGGTATGGATGAGGGACTGTTATTCATATTATTGTTTTCGCATTTTATACAGCTTATGGGGGTTTACAACAGTATATATGTTACATAACTTTATTAATAACTACATACATTGATACTAGCAAAAAAAATGGAGGGAAATGGACCAGAAATGGTGTGAACAGCGAGCTTGCTGTCCACAACAGTGATGAGAAGGGCGGGAGCAACGACTTAGTCAGCGCACCGTGGGACCCTGCCAATCTTAGTCAGCAGGGCAGAAATACCTCGCTGACTAAGATTGGTGGGTCCCCACGGCCCGACTGTTAGTCAGCATGCAAGCAGAGCAGCCGGCATAGGCCTGGCACATGAGTTGAGTGTGCCAAGCCCCTCGCGAAGTCCTGGGGTCCGACACATTCCTGAAGAAAAATACATGGTGTGGCGTCATGGAGGCAGTTCGGGGTCTCAGAGATTCTTGAAGAAACTGGGAGAATAGGCCAGTCTGTGTCAAGGCAAATTCTCATTTGTTTTGGCCTCTGTCAATGGATCGGTGACGAACGGTGACATTCTGCAGGGTGTCATTCTTTGATTATTGTTAACATCCTGCCAAAAAAGGTAACTTTCTGTGCCGATCGTCAAAGAACGTCAACATTCTTTGACAATCGTGACCGTTCCTTGGCTATCGTGACCGTTCCCTGACTTTCTCCCACGTTCTGCCACAATTGTCACTGAATTTCATTTACATTGTATTTTTGTCCAGCACGGACCACCATACTTAGGGGCTGTTTCACACAGTGTTGGACATTCTAGATGAACATTGTGCATTTGAGGTTTTGCTGAAGTCGAAAGAGCACTTTCCACCTCCTCGATGCGACGAGCAGACCCGCCAGGTGGTCATCCAAACAATCATGGACTGGATCACCAGCGATGACAAAACTGCCTCAATGATGGTTCTACTTGGGTCAGCAGGTCTAGGAAAGTCAGCCCTCGAGCAGTCAATTGCAGAAATGTGCGCAAAAGCCGGGCTCCTTGCTGCAAGTTTCTTCTTCTCCACCACTTCCTCAAATCGGAATAATGGCGACACTCTTATCCCAACCCTTGTTTATCAGCTCATACGGGTCATCCCAGGATTGCGGGATCTGGTTGAGAAGGAGCTCAAGAATGATCCCCACATCTTGAAGCTCTGCCGGGAATCACAGATGGAATGACTCCTTGTCAAGCACCTTCAGAATGTTATGCCTGCTGTATCCCCCACAACACCAAGACTCGTTGCGATCGATGGCTTTGATGAATGCAGCGATCAGGCCATTCAGCATGACCTTCTCCTAATCCTAGCGTCTGCCCTTCCACGATTCGACTACCCGTTTCAATTCCTCATAGCCACTCGACCCGAGGCACACATCATGCAAATCCTTCAACACCACCCGTCTTTCCAGTGTGGCTCTGTCCGGCATCTTAACCTGAACGATACGAATGCCGATAATGATATACGTACCTTCTTCGTCAATCGGTTCGCCGAGATCAGAAGAACACATCCAATCGGTGGATATCTCGCGTCGCCGTGGCCAGCAGAAAAGGACATTGACAAGCTAGTTCGCAAGGCATCGTCTCAGTTCATCTACGCCGCTACCGTCATGAATTTCCTTTCATCCCCGGAACACAGACCCGACGACCGACTCCAAGTCATACTAGGACTATCTGCCCCGCACGTGAACGAGAAGCCATTCGCACAGCTGGACATCCTATACACATATATTCTCATCTATTCAATGCAGCCGCCTCAATACTGTGAATCGGATTCTTGGAATCATGGTCCTCGCAACTGAAGGCACCGCTGGAGTTACACCTCGCCTGCGTGATCTTCAAGAGGTGTTCTCATTCAGACCTGGGGATATTGACTTGGCCCTTATTCCTTTAGCCTCGGTAGTTTCTCTTTCTTCTCCAGAAAAGCCCCTTGAAGTCCTGCATGCATCCTTTATTGATTTCATTCTTGACCCAGCAAGATCCAGTGCATTCGCCCTCGATACAGCACTGGCGCACAACACGCTAGCGAAATGGAAGTGGAGACAGTTGGAATTAGGTGTGGCGTGTTTGTCAGAGCCTTCAACAAATTACTGATTACCCTCCATGGGTTTGTAGGTGGTTGGTCAAAAAAACAGGGCAGTGTGACCAGCTTCTTGCTGCATGCTGTGAATGCCTCCATGTCCAGTGAGACCTTGGACATGTTGCAACCTGTTGCAAAACTGCTCGGAGATATGCTAGCTGACGAACCGCAATTTAATACCTACCAGGATGTGGGCAATGCTCTTATAGGACTGGGAAAGTTTTTTGACAGGGCGGTAAGCAGCCGAGATATGTTCTTCCCAAGCAGGGGATACTCAACCTCCAAAGGATTTCCCACACGGGCCTGCCTCATGCCTCTTTCTCCATCCGCAATATACCTCTCTGCAGGTGTTTTTGACGGTTACAACATCTGACAGGCAGCCATTACTCCAAGAGATAATGAATGGACTTCGGACATTCAAAATGGGAGAAGAATTGGTGAACATTTGGTCCTTATCAATTCCGAAAAATACTGATAGTTAATATCATGGTTGCTCAGGTCACTGAAGACGAATCGGGGATGAGGAAGAGACTGCACTATATGATCTGCACTGCGCGCTTTCTCTACTGCGGCCATTGGATATGGAAGAAACCAACGACTTTCGGTCTGAACGAACTTGCGAGTAGCTGCGCCTTCTCCATTTTGTACGCTCGCTCACATCAAGGGCCCGGCTGGCATGCGTCGGACGCTGCAATTCTTTTATTCATCGCCATCCTTCTGCCTTACTGTCGTCCGGATGAGTACACTTCACATATTCTGCTTTTTGCCGTGGGCGGACCTGTTTCCACTGGCCCAAAGCCGCTGTTCAGACATACACCTCCTGAGCTTGTGGATCACCAGGTTATTGTAGACAGATTTCGCGGGGAACTACAAAAATACTTGCAGGTCAGTCTCCTGAGGCAAATTATCTATTCACAGGCTAATAGCCCGGTCTACCACTAGCGCGTGAAACACACGCTGCTGCCCAAGACATTGAAGATGCTGGAGCATTTGGATGACCGTGATGACGAATATTGGCGGAATTTGCTCCTGTATTGACAATATCCTGCCTGAACTACTTGTTGAAAAGCATGAATAAACTTTTTTCAGCAGTGGTAGGGAATCTAATCTAATCTACATGTTTCGTGAGAAAGTGCGGAGAGTGTGCCGTGATGCCGACGAAGCCACTCCTCACCGTCATCCCATCGCCCTCAACCCGCTTTTAAGTTAGCCACCTATCCCGCTGCCACCATCGACATTCAGCTCAGTGTTTTTTGCAAATCCTCCGTGTTTCAATCCATCGCTCTCAAGACAAAGCACATCTTTTGGAATGCGGCGAAGAGGCCTTCCGAAACAGTGCAACCAGTTCATGCTACTGTCACAATAATCAACTATTCAACACGTCGGAATCAAATGAGAGTGCTCAACCTTCAGCAGTAAATCATTCATCCAACCATTTCCGAGATCACGCATAGTCTGGCTTTGTTCTCGAAGCGCTCGACAGACAAGACACAAATGCATATACCAAGCCCATTGGCGACCTGGTTACCTTGTATCTCCTTCTTGTAGCCTCTATATGAACCCCGCGACTCTTCGCTAGAGGTGAAAACCCTTATACATCACCCACCATCGCTCTCGAAATGCCCTACATCTTCCAATCGCCTTCGTCTCGCCCCTCGCGAGCTTTGTCTGCAGGTATGTACCCATCCCATTTGAAGTTGATGCTTGCTGAAGCCGAAATAACAGGAGGAATATCAGATGCTATGTCGTCGATGAGGACCTATCTTCCGAAGAAGAAACAAGGGCCGTCGATTGATCTCGAAAGCCTGCGAGAGCAGAATTCGACCATCCCCGTATCCAGCATTCCCGTTGAACTGCTGCGCAAAATATTCGACGTTTATGTCTACGAGCCATACCCAGCAAATATGGGCTTTCGTTCCATGGATCCCGACTCAGGTGGAGACCCGTTACTCCTCGGCCAAGTTTGTTCCTACTGGAGAAACGTCGCGGTCAATTCTTCAAGCCTGTGGTCGACCATTGTGATTTCACAGCCCATAGATCGCCATACTCGTCTTGTAAACCTCTGGCTCGACAGGGCTGCTGAGCACCCACTGGACATAACCTTCAACCAACCAGACAATATCACATCGGCGTGGACTATATTGAACGCCTTCGTGTCACGCTCCAGGTTTTGGAGGCGGATCGATTTGACAGTTCCACTCCAACTCCTCGCACATTTCGCAAGCCTCCTCCAATCGCCTCGACGGTGCGACATGCTAGAGCATGTGGACTTCTTCACTCGCAGCCCCATCTCGGGGCAGCTGTTCGACTACGACCTCGCACATCCTGCATGGAGGACTAATCTTTTACGCCAGATATGGTCCTTCTTCTACACCTCCTCATCCCTCTGTTCTGTGTATTGGGTCTATGAGTTTGAGAGCTGCGCTCATGAATATGCACCATTGACCCAGATGACATCAATCCACTTGAACACTTCAGCTCAGCTTGACGCAGAAGACACCGTCGGGTTTATGCGACTCTTCCCGAACCTGAAATCCCTGACCACGACCATCTCCTCTTCAACCTCCTTTCCTATCCCTAAGCCGTGCATTCCCACTTCCGCAATCACATTCACCAAACTCGAGACCCTGCATCTGACTGTTTGTTCCCCCATACCAACCATATTCTCCAAGGTCACTCTCCCCTCTCTGCGCTGTCTTCACTTAGTATCTGTGGCTTGTCAAGAACCCTTGTTCCCAGATTCTACCATTTTCAACGACTTCCTTCAACGATCAAATTGCCGGCTGACCACATTGAATTACGCCGACCCACACGTTGCGGAACCATGTTTGCAGGAACTACTCGCCACCCCCTCTCTTCAGTTCCTGGCATATTTCAACTACGATGGGAGGGTAACTGACTTCACCATTCTGTCCCTTATGAAGCGAAGCCAAAGCGGCTGTCATGCACTGGTCCCACGAGTTGAAGAGCTGTACTTCATGAACTGTGATACGACGGATATTGCAATTTCGGATATGGTCGCATCACGTACCCCAGCATTGAAGACCTTCCAATTCTATTCCGAGAGGGAGGGACGCTTGATTGGCCCCACGCATTGGTACTACTAAATTGCGCCTTACAGTACTCGACAGGACTCGGCCGTATTAGTCTGACCCAAGCTGTCATCACTTCCGAATCAATTTCACTGTAATATTCTTCAATAGCATCCTTATCCTCTCTGCATCACCAACCGGAAGACCATCTGCCAAGACGAGCGTCAAGTTTTTGACTCTAGCCACATGAGAAAGACTCGGAAGGATTGCTGGCACTCGAACGAGCCCTCTACCATCAAGCGCAAGAGTCAAGTTGTCGAGAGTCGTCCAATATACTTTGCCTAAAATTCGGTCAATGGACTCTTTGGTGAATATCGTAAGATTCCGCAGTTGTTCAAATTGAACTCTGGTTTGTGCACTGGCCTTCAGGGTGCTAGGGTTTATTCTCCTGGAGGCAGCGTCGTCAACATTGCCCAGCTCGGCGCAAACGAGGTTCGGGGATGAGTGAAGAATAGAAATCGCATCATCGACGGACATGGACAATCCAATGATCTTGAGGGTATGGAGATTGTGAAAGGGAATTCCGATACACTTGTATGCAAGCAAGGAAAAGTTCCCCACCCAAATGAATTCGCGAAGGTTCGTCGCATTGGAGAAATCAATGCAGTCGGTTGTTGTAGTATCGTCGTCGAATGATACGTCCCACGGCTCGAGGTCCTCGACTTTCTCTGGGATAGTGAATGTCATGCGCTCGAAGGATTCTAGGGGGCGTATTGTCCGGCGATCCACACGAAACGTGCGGTTGAGTTTCTCGAAGAGTTTTTGAAAGATTATTCGTCCTCTGAGATTCTTCCCTTTCGTCCAGGCGAAGGTAAGGGTATTGTTGACCCTCTTGGATTTGGTCTGGATGAAGTGCGCAACCTCTGCACGTATCAAATCCATATCTTGGGGGCCCATGGGATCGGAGACGTGAATAGCTAGCTCGGGGGGCGGAGGTGGTTCTGGATAAAAGCCTAGTGACTCCAGGCTCGTCTCTGGTAGTGGTTTATTGTTTCTCATGAGCGGTGCGCCGGGGACGAGAGAAGGGGATAATGGCTCTGTATGCATTGACCCATGATAGCGAGTAGAATCACGAGGGGACCTGGGGGATAGGACGTAGGACCATGGGTCCCTGAGGCGTCGGCCGCGCGTTGGGCCAACAACGTTAGCGTCGGCAGGATGGGTTCCAGGGAAGTAGTTTCCTGCAGGAACGGGAGGAGGGCCGCTGAAATGACGACCGGAGTTTGAAGCTTGGCGCGAGCCGTGCCACCAGTGAGAGATGTAGTTGTTCATGATGAAGGGAAGTGGGGGTGTTCTAATATCTGTAGCTCAGACCCGGAGAGGGATTGATTTATACCTCCAATTGAGAAGCATTTCGCCACGACTTTTGTTCAGGTTAACTGCAGCCTTCACAACTGAGGTAATTGTGAGTTTTGTTACGAATTTCACCATGGTTTCGAGCAACGCTGGACGTTTCAGAGACAAAGCTGGAGGGTGGAAACTGCTTGACGCCTGCGAGAAATAACAAGGGTGTTCTTTAGAGTTGACGTCGTTCAATTGTTCAAGCGCCCACATCGGCTGTGCAACTGCGGGCCGGAAGAGCCGGTCCAGACCGGATGGTCGTCAAACTGCTCTCGGCGCGACTCTCCGCCATACATAGCTGCCAACAGTTTGGTGTTCCCCATGCTATCTCAGAAGGCTCTGTCGTCCCAAACCATTTCCGACCACCTTCATATCTTGCTCATACATGCCGGCCCCGAAAGAGCTTGACATGTTGATCGGTTCGCAAACCACCAGAAGGAGCAAACCTGAATGACCTGGCGCTCAGACGAACACAACGCGGACATCTTTCGTTCCAACAACTACGGTGCCCAGAAGCTCTAGGGCCGGGAGGCATGTACGCATATACACCAACCCCACCTTTGAACCAACCATGGGGAGCAAGGAGCACTCAAGCTCCACAAAGCTGGTTCCCAGTCTGGGGAGCTCAAGTTCGCCCTCCACCACGACCGAATGGCCCAGCGCCTGATCGTGATCTACAGAGGGAGGGAGGTCTTCCTGGGCGGGATAAACTGGTTGTTTCCGTTGATTTTGGTGAATCGGCTTCAGTCACGCTTTGACTATTGTTCTTATCTGATGGTGTCCTTTCCGTGTGCGTAGGCACCACGGAGTCTGGGGTGGTACGTATCTTACCAGTTTGCTATCACTTTGAGATGACTCACAGTATATGTCTATGTGCAGGCGTATTCATCTTCGACGTTCACGGATCCGCGGAGCAGGCTGGTCCTGAATTGGCCTGGAACATATGAGATTCATCGGAAGGTCCGCAACCACCATCCTGAATGGAAGGCTTCTGGTACTCAATTCTTCCGCAGATACCCACCTGTCTCGTTTACGATGCCACTGGTCAGCTCTTGAACTGGGGATTGGATGCAAAACACCAAGCCCTGGAAGATGGATGCATCGCTGCGAATATTTCAAGCTCTTCTTAGAGCCAGAGTCCCTCAAAGCCGAAGCATCAATCCAGAAGCTTTTGCCGAAGCTGCCGGTGAGAATTACATCTAATATCTAGGCTTGAATGTTTCTTATTTTATTCGCAGCCCGGAAAAATGCCCCTTGATCTTGTCACCGACTTTCTGGCCAGCTTATGGGACCACGCAAAGCAGGAAATCATTAAAGATGCTCATTACACAGACAGTGAACTCGGTATGCGAGAGCTTTTATTCTCTCAGCACACACTTACTTCCAATCCTCGGGATAAGAACGTGTAGAAGTCTATTTGACTATTCCATTGACATGGAATAAGGAGGGGATTGCGATCCTCCGGGAGGCTGCTATCAAAGCAGCTCTCGTCCAAGGCGTTGGCGCTGGCGATAACCAGTGGCGAGATCGCTTACACCTTGCCACTGAGGCCGAGGCGTCTTTCGTACACTGTGTTCTGAACCTGGTTGTCCCCCCTCATATTCAAGAACGACCATTGAACACAGGCAAGCAGTTTCTCGTTTGCACTGCTGGGGGTAGATCAGTGGAAATTTCGAGCTACAAGGTCTGTTAATTCGGTGATCATTCCTCGGTGCACCCGCTGATCTCTGTTCAATTTACGTTCAAGGTCACGGAGATTGGGAGCTCGAGCATACCAGAAATTGCTGAGATGCCCCGGCGAAGCGGGTTTATAGTTGCGGTAGCTCTTTTCTTGATGTACGTTTCCGCGAACTAGTCATGGTAGGTCCTTTCCTATTTTCTGATGCGCTTTCGAGATTCAAGGTCTCTTTCAGGCGATTCTTACCGATCATCCAACTCATACGGATATAGCCTCTCTCGCTTTCTTTGGTTTGTCACCCCGCATTCTCTCATTAATATGATCACTTAAGACCTCGAATAGCACATCAGTTCTCTACAGTTGAGAAACTAGACTTTGGCAGCTCCGAAGAAGGCCAGGAGGATGGTAAATACCCAACGTGCTCCCTGATCAAGTTCAATAACAAACGTCCTATCTAACAGAAACGACGTTTCGTTTTCCTTGCTTCAATGCTGAAGATTCGCATGATCCGACAGTGGGTCTAATCAACGGCGAGTTATGTATCCCAGGGAAAATGTTGCGTCGAGAAGTGTTTGACCCAGTGGTCGAAGAGGTACGATGCCGTGGTTTCATCGTCAAATACTTTTTATGCCGCCCACTGTCAGGTTGTTCGTCTTATAGATTCGCAAATTTCGCTTCTCGGACCTCCGGAAGCACTGTTTCTGGTCGGCGGCTTTGCCCAGAACCCCTACTTGTTCAAGCGCGTCGCGGTATGTATCGGAGATGCTTCCCATTGTTCCTTATTCTTACTGCCACATCTCAAAGCAAACCTTCAAAGACCGTATTCCCTTCATTCAACGACCATCCGATGCGGACACGGCCGCGCTTCGCGGAGCTGGTGCCGGCGCCTTGCTAGGGCTAACCTTCAGACCGAAGATTGTCGTGCCCCGCTCGTATATTTTAAAAGTTAGACTTAGTTTCCGTGTGGACACCCTGATCTTCATAACTCTATCTATTTATAGGTCCGCGTTCCTGCGGAGCAGGGAGACTTTCTTCGACGCCCAGCGTATATTAAGCAGGATGCTAGGGGAATGCCGCTGTGCGAAAAACGGTGCGCATATAGCTAGTTTGACTCGGAGTCAGGATTTACGAAATGCTTATCGCACCCTCAGACTTCAATATCTGGTGAAGAAAGGCGCGGTTGTCGATAAAGGGTAAGCGCTGCGCTCTCATCAGGTTATTGAACGCTGGTGAACCTTCTGCAGCGGACCGATTCTTGCGAAATTCTCGTGAGTGGCTCCAATTCTGCACAATCACAAGAACTGAACGACGTGTAACTTAGGAAATTGTCCAAATCGGAACGGGGTATGTGTCTCTCGGTGAAGAGCATGCCTTGATTCGCTCAACGCATTCTAGATTCCACTTTCGTCACGCGGGTCTACACCGATACTTCGGATAAAACCTATCAGTATATCGACGAAGCCGCATTAGATGAGCTCTATCGATGGACAGTTGACCTGTCAGCCCTACCAGGTTTTCAAAGAAGCAGCCCCTACCATGCCTTCTACACCGGTAGGCCTGTCACTTGTCCAGCCGTCATCCACGACGTTTCCAAGCTGATTGCAGCCCTTCCTTCTACTCTAGAATTTGAAATTGGTATAGAGGTGGAGAATCAGGATGTGTCCGCCGTTGTTTTGTACAATGGTGTCGAGACAGCACGGTGAGTATCTCATAGTTCACATTGGGAAACCTCTAGATAGCCTTCGCTCAGGGCGTCTTTTAATCTTTGAACAATCTTAGGGGGGCCAAGGGTTCGAGGAAACCAGGATGTAGTAAGTTTGCTTTGTGATATATACATTTTGTGGGTATTTGCGAGCTATTACACGTCTTTTAATATTTACGATGGCCTGATGCTTAACGGGGGATCCTCTAGAAGCGATAAATGTATGCGCCGCGCAGCTTCGTGTAGTCGACCTGATAAACCCTCTGGGGGTTAGGGTAGTGCGCGTGCGCGTGAATTACTGGGACAGGTGCAGGCCTTGGGGTTGTTTCGTTCAGGTTCAGCGGAGGAGGAACGGTAGGACGACGTCCGTACATGCCTCCTTGTGATGCAGTATGATCGTCTGCTTTCTCGGCTAGGCGAATCTCTTCGAAAGGATACGGTGTTACCGGGTATCTGACTGGAGAGCGGATGTGCGTATCACGCCTGTCTGCCAGGGAGTCATCTTCGTAGAACGACACGCCAGGTGGCCGAACTGGAGTATGTGAATCGCCAGAGAGGGTCATGCGATGCATGTCCCTCGTGCCGTTCCTGTGCTGCATGACGATACCGTTAGGGTCGACACCATGGAAGACTTCAAGTCGCCTGAGCTCGTCGCAGTCATAGACCCCGTATGCTTGTTGGCCATAGATATTGGCTGGGTGTGCTTTCTCGCACTTGTGATCCTCGGCGAGGGAGAAGTCGACGATGCGAGGAGAGTATCCCATCTGGAGTATGTGGCTCGATTTGAGGTTACCGTGTTTCAGACCGGCTTGGTGGATCTTGCAGAGGGCAACCATAAGTTCGCGGCTTAAAGGAACACGATCAGTTGTAATGCCACAATGATTGAAACAGAACTGACTGGAACTCGTCGGCGTCGACCTTCTTATCCGTGTGCGGTTTGATGTACTCCAATAAGAGGCAACCCATCTCCCTACCCTTGACGGTACCCTTGAACAGACCATAGCAGTACGGAACAACGGTCCCTTGAAGAGGAGCAAGAAGCTTCGTGTAATATGCGTGTTCGTGCTCGAGAAGCTTGAGCTTATCCTTGCCATATGCCAACTTCGCAACAATCTTGCTTGTAGGAGGTTCGGCGACGGGTCCGAGGTCCGCAATGTAGATGTTACGTTGAATAGTCTTCGTCAAGCGGGCGACCTGGTTTACTTGGCCACGGTCCCATGCGCAGAGATGGTCAGAGGTACGATCATCACGCCAGATGAGTTGAAGCGTCGCCATCGCTCGTTGAGTGGTGGAGGTAAAAATAAGAACAGCGGGTGTGGAAGGGTGGGCAATCTTCTAGGGATATGTGGGGACGAAAGCGCCTTTGGAAAACCTGATTTATAGACTTCGCTTGGACAATGCGAACTGTGGAGTGGCCCGGGGGTGGCACGCTTTGTTGTCCAGACCCATATCTCTGGACCTCCTCCCGCTTTTGGCTAATAACTTACTAAATACGGAAGGTTTGAGTCGCGTGGATCTCGGCAGGCCAGGGCATCGGAGGTCGGGGCCACCGTCTGCCAATATATTTGGGCCAGTGATCATAGAATCACTTCAAGCCACTGAAAAGTGGCCAGCCAACGGCCCGACCGTCCAGGAAATCGGTCGGTCACTGAGGAGGGGGCATTACGGTGAAGGTCGTGATTGAAGGTGCGAGAGTCTGGCGATTTCGGAGAAGCATATTTCGGATAAATTTGAGCTCTGAGGGGGTTCATCTCTTCCTCGAAGTCCTGTCCCCATTCGTCTGGGCCCTTCCGGTTGTGCCCCCTTATTTAGAATTAGTACTTGTTTAACGTCCTTAGTATGCTCAGGACTCTCTTCATCGTTGTATCTCTTTAGCGGCGTAGAGTAAGAAGATGCACTGAGACACTAGAATTTTATCCGATATAAGTACACACCTATCAACTCAGGCAAGATGGATCCGTGACCACGGCCCAACCACGGCCGGACCGGGGTATTTTATGTTCGCGATGTTCTCCATCCTTCCTCATTGCTTTATTGATATTGATCTCCCGCTTCTTCAAAGTTAGTGAATTAAATATAATTCATAATGGAGTGTTTATCCCTGCTCTGTATTTTTTTCCTGTATTATTTTTTTGCCTTCATCTTTATGCCCATGTGAGATAGGGGCTTATTTGGTTTATACCATCATAGCCCAACAACGCTAGTCGATGTCGGAAGTTGGCAGCAAACACTCATGACCTCGGCTGGCCCTCAGCTCACTATCCAGACGTTTCTCAACCCCTTCGAACTCTGCTCTGATTCGCGGACTCACGGATATCAAGGAACATCGCGGAATGTTAGACTAACGCGTGTAACACCTGCTGGAGGAGGCTCAATAGCGAGAAGCGAGGATGGTGTCCGGTGTGCAGTCACCGGCAAGGAATGTACGTGCAAGAGGGTGTTTCCTCTTTGAAATGCTTAACGGGTACTGTGTTAGCTCTCAGAATAATCCGTGTCTCCGAACCCTCCCAAGACGCCAATCACGAACACAAGTTCGCCATCGGGAGGGGTGGCCACAGGATCGACGCGTCGCGCAATTTTTGGGAAGGAAGCGGGCTCAAGATCGATAGCGCCAGCACCGACGTGGCTTGGGGTCATGGTCGTATGTTGCCACACTGCCATGCCCTTCAATTTCTGAGATGCGGACCAGTGTTCAATAACAAAATCTTGACCAGTGCTCGCAATGGCGAGTTGATTATGTGGGATCTGAACAAATCCGGTGTAACAAAGTACGGTGTGTGTTGGCTTCCTTGTCCAATTGTAGGAAACGTAAGTAAATAGCGCACAGAACGCAGGACGAAGGACCACATTCGTTCAATCCACAAGATGTCAGTGTCGCAAGTTGTTCATCACTACTGCATCACCGGCTCCGCGGACGGGCATATGCGAGTGTGGGTAAGAGAAAAAGTTAGTTTCTTCATATCCCTCGCGAAGTAAATGTCTTTCAGGACCTTCGTGACATGTCGAAATCCATCATGCGCGTGCACCACCCCACTTCCGTGCGGAGTCTTGTCTTCTCACCTAGTCTTTGGGAGCCGTTGCAAGCGGTAGTAGGCCTGGACAATGGGAGCATCTATCGGTATTTTACCCCAGCTCGTTATTCTGCTATCTCTGAATGTCAAGTAGATGGGATCTCAAAATGGGCCAGCGCGGGCAACTCGACAAACTACCTGTCGCACATACAGCAGCTGTCACAACTCTGGATTGGTGTCGTGCAGGAGGCGTTCCGTTGGGAGGTGCGGCAGTTGTCGCAGGCGGAGAGGTTGCTGGTAGTGGTCTCGGTTGGCTCGTTAGTGCGGGTTTGGATCGTTGTGTCAAGGTTTGTCTATCGCCTGCAACGTTTCCTCGTACTCAGTTTTTACTAGATTTGGGACCTTACTGCACCTGGTTCGAACACACATATACCCCACAAACCAACATATACCCTCCATCCGTCGTTCGCTGTTCGTCGCGTGGCGTGGCGACCAGGTTATGAGTGCGAAATTGCGATCGTCTCAAGCACAGATTACGCGACACCCTCGGTAGATAACTCTCAGCCGTCGCCAAATACTGCTTCTCCTAGTCTTCTCACAAGGGTAGGCAGCGGCCTTGGTTTAGACTTGCTGTTGAAGGGGTCTAACAATCTCGAGAGTATCTACGGCGCAAAGGAGAAGCTCAACACACCTGATACCAAGATTCTGCCGGCTGTTTCTTCTCTCGGGGATGCGGTGGAGATATGGGATGCCCGGCGGGGGTGGATAGCGAAGTGGTCTGTTACTGGCTCTGCTGCTGAGGGCGGTGTTTCAGGTAAGTAACCAGATTAAAGAGGCACCTCCAATTAATAATCCAAGTAGATATCGTCTTTGGGGATTCACATGCAATCTGGGCGCAACATGCAAGCGGAACATTTTCTCAATTCGACCTGCGGGATACTACGAAGCCTTTGGATGCAGTTCCTCGTGTGGCAGCAACTTGGGAAGCAACTGGTTCTATTGCTTTCGTTGTCGACCGAAAGGAACGCTGGGAGATCCCCTATGACGACATGTAAGACCTTACTCTTTCTTGCCAGGTCTCGACCTCAATATTTTGATTAGACACCCTGACAAACGTGCCGCGCCGGAATTACGTAAACCTCCCATAAAGACGTTAGGTGACCCTTCCGCACGAGTCACGACCCAAGTAGCAGCGACATATGCCCATAATTTCACAACCGATGATCTGGAAACATTCACCACTCTGGCAAGGCGATATGTCTTTGAAGGCCGAGATAGGCAGGAGATATGCGCCTATAACTCCGGAGTACGCTTATTCCCCTCAGTCTTCTCTTCTGAGGAGCTCATTTCGCTCACAGGTGGCTATATCTGTTGGTCATGAAATGGCAGCCCAAGTCTGGCTGCTTCTCGGCGCGTGTCTGGTCCAATACGTACCCGACTATCCTCCAACCCCACCACTCTCACCTGTTGGCAGAAAAGCCAAGCAAATCCCTAGTCCACTACTTCCCCATGCCTCTCCGCAACCCTCGTCGACCACCAGTCCATACACCTTCCCTATCTCGCTGAACCCCAAAGCGGAAACGCCCTCATCTGGCCAAAAGATCAGTCCGGCCAGGAGATCAGCGGATGCGTCACTCTCTCGACGGACAAGCTCCGGTCGTACACCATCCACATCGAACTCTCGCAAGCTGACACCTACTTCCTCTGCATCCTCTTCACCGCGCCATCCACCGGTATCGCTGCCGCCTATTACTCCCCGTCGAGCATCTTTCTTTGCTCGACGAGAGTCCATCGATGCTTCGACGCTCAGCCGGTCAGTTATACGGCGGCCATCGGTATCTACCACCGGCCAAAGCGCCAGCCCGAGCGATAAGACGACGCCGAGTCTGCGACACGTTGGGGAAGGGGTGTTGGATGATTCCGATTCGTCTTCTGGTAGTGAGGAGGGTGAGGGAGGAGACGAGACGGCCGGGGCCAACTCGAGCGAGGAGGACCTCCGCCTCCGAGCGCTAACATCGCCCCACGTGAATGTCCCGCGGATTGGACCTGTCCCAAGCCCTCTCTCACGCGTTGCTGGCAGGCAGAAGTGGACGGAGGACCAGGGTGACGAAGAGCAAGGATGCGACGACGACGACGACACTTCGCCCTCGCCGCAGTCAACGTCTGACACCGACTCACATGGCTCCAGCTCTCCACATAAACGATCCGTGTCTGCAAGGCCTGCCCGCGGGCGGAACGTAAGTCGCATCAAATCTCGGAGTCGAAGCTCGACTGTTGCTTCGCTCGCTGCGACGTCCATCCCGGGACCGAGGCCGCTCGTGCACCAGGATTCGCAAAGCAGCATACGGACGGTAACCGCTATGAAGGAGCAAGAGGATCAGGATGATGACGGCGATGCAGACTCTAATGCTAGCGTAGCGTCTGGATCATATTATCGCCCTACGGAGACACGCGGAGGGCATACAAGGCAGAAGTCGCAGGCGATATCAGAGCCTGCTGTGACTTCCTTGAGGCCGCCCATAGATGTGGAGGAAGAGGACTCCGTCAGTGAGGCGAGCTTTACGGAAAGGACGATGGAGATCATCAGGGCGGATGAGAAGAGGTTTAAGGAGACAACGTTGGCCGCACTGCAGGATGTTCTGGAGAAAATTTCTGAAGAGGTTGGTCTTCCTCTGCATAGGTCCAAGGTAATGTTATTGACGTGATTTGGATGCTTAGGGTGATATCCAGATGTGCGCGATGATGGCACTCGTTGCGTCTGAAGAACTAGGGGTTTCTCCTCGGCGAGTGCGCCGCTTTTTGGATGAATACATCGGTAAGATGCTGTTGATGTTGCGACCGTCATTTTCCTGACCTTATCGACAGACATCCTAACACGTCTTCGGTTATTTACGTGCGCTGCCTATGTGCGCAAATTTTGTGATATTCAAGATCTCCAAGAAAAGAGTCGGGTAGGTGTATTTGTGAGAAAAACCGACTACGACATTAATTCGGTCCAACCTAGCTGGAGACGGTCATCTATACGATGTGCGCCAAGTGTCATAAACCTCTTCTCAAAGCCGCCGGGACCGTTAATCTGAAGGATTTGTCGAGAGGAGGTTTTTCATTCTGTTTATCTTGTAAGACGACTGTGTCCAAGTGTGCTATATGGTCAGTCTCTTTCTCCTATCCTGTTCGTCCATCTCCGATAAAAGCCTCTTTCAGTCGGCTGCCTGTTCGTGCACTAGCCTTTCAATGCTCCATTTGCCATCACGGTGGGCATCAAGCGTGCTATCGAGAGTATTACATGCGACACTCCATGATTGATCTCCCCTCCTCATTCCTCCCTACCTCCAACGACTTACGAGGGCGGACATCCTTGCGAAAGTCACCTACTATCCTTGAGGATGACGCGAGTTCGACAATCAGCAGCGTGGCAGATACATCTGCTAACCAGAGCCCTGTGATGACAAGGTCGCCCAAACTAGCGGGCCATCCGTGTGCGGCTGGATGTGGGCATTACTGCTGGGCGGCGAACAGGGAACATGAAGACGTGTAATGTATCAGTTACCTGTTTGTACCTTTATCCTTTTGTCTGTTCTTTGGGCCTCGAGTGTAAAGGAGCTTTTTCGATGGCCTGAAAATTCTTGCAACCTTTCTTTGGTCGCGAACTAGCTACTGATGCTAGTGAAGGCCATAGCTTCTTTGGAGGCGCGACATTAGGCGAAGAGGGGTATCTGAACGAGGTCACTGGTATGAAACCACTACGTTCGGATGGACACGAAGACCTTCAAGATGTACAAACCTCCTCTCTCTTCTATTCAACCAATTCCTGTATCATATCCTCTCCTTCCACCAGTATCTGTGCTCCTGTTGTTGAGATGTCTTCGCCCGCCAGTTTTCAGATTGTCCAACAATTATGCTTTCGTTCTGCTATTAAACGGATGTACTATTACTCTGTATCGGAAATTTTCTTCAAGAGATGCAACACTGCAGGACTACTAATTATAACAGAAACGGACACCGTTGCGCTCCAGCAGTTGCATTGCCATCCTACTGCGTCTCCGTGTGAGATTCATAAGCGCCTTGTCCGCGACCCTCGCTGAAGTCTTGGTCCTATAGAATAATGGTCAAAATTTGCTTTAAATCGACCGAAATTAGGGAAATTCGGGACATCCACACGACAAAAGGTGTCCCCGCAATTTTCGCCACCGAAAGAACGACGTCGTGCAATTGCCACGGCCTGATCGCGAGAGTTGACGGGTGAAAAAAGTTAAGCTCAAAGAATGAGCGAAGGGGTTCCAAAAATTTCGAATGCATACTATCGCATTCCAGCCACTCCTATCTCGTCATCCATCGACCTCCACACACACGAAACCCGTTTGCTCTAGGTACGAACCCCCATCAACACCGCAGGACAGTTCTCCCTAAGAGAACCTCCTGCTTGCACGCCGGAGGTCTGTCGGCGACACGCACGAGCGACCCAATATAGGGGCCATGCGTGTCGGTTGCTGGGTGGGGGAAAGCCGTGAGATCTTGAAAGCGGCAAGAAGATGGCAAGAGTTAGGCAGAGGAGACGGCGAAGGAACACCGCAGGAAACCCAAGGTAACCTCAAAGGCCAGCTACGGTGACACCTATAACGCCCCGACCTTATGACGCTCGCATATGGCGAGTCTTTGAAAACAGCGACCGACCGGCGCCTATGAGGACATGCAGCCGTCCACTGTGCCAAAGCGAAGGGTGTTGAGCAACATGTGGCGTGCACTCGGCTTCCACCACATGCAGAGGCTCTTTCGAGCCCAGGTGTTGGATGCCAAGCATCAGCTTGACTCCTCACACCTTGAAAGGTTGTACCCTTTCCCCTGGGAACAAAGGGGCCTTCGTCGCTCCTCGCGATGTCCACCGGACATACTTAGCAAGGAGGAAGGGTATGAGCCCTGCGTGAGCTGGTGTGATCGATATAGTGACGAGGAAGGCGTAGCTGAGCAGCAGCAACACGCTGCTCGTCAAAAGTGAAAACGCACATGGTAGCTACTTTATAGCCAGGAAGTTCACACGCATTTGATCTCTGCCTTTTCCACCGCTCCTCTCATTCTTCTCGACGCTGCCTTCTATGAACTTGAGATGAGTGTGATAGCTTTCTCGACGGTTCCGATGACGGGGAGCCTTATTTAAGACCAGAAATCTGTTGTCGTGACTCGCCCCTTGTCCGCCATTTCTCCAAATTGGCAGGACAATCGTCCTTCACACTTCCACCTCCCTGGGTGGTCATTTGAAGTGGGTATATGCGCGTACTTTCTTATTCACCGTTCACGTTCAGATTCGTTCCTGAGCTCTTTTTTCCAGGATCGAAGGGCTCGAGAAAGCGAAAGAAGATCATCGCCTCCTCTACCCGGGCAGTAGTGCAAATTCCTATTCTCCATTCCAAGCTCCGCTGAAAACGCAATCCATAAAACCTGGCACCTTCAATCCACTCAGGCCATTAGCTTTTTTAGTTCGCCAGTTTTCTTCTATTGGATCTAGGAAATTTTCCTGATCCCCCTCGTCCAGACACTCAAACTGAGACTCTTTTTCTAGGCTCTTGCTTGGCTTGATCAAATTCTCGTTGCTGGTCATCGTTCTGCCACCTAGGAATTGACACGAAGCTCAGCAAAAGGGGCGTCTCTTGTCCTGGTCGGCACATTTTCCGACGATCTAGCCTTTTTTTTTTTTTGATAAGACCTGATGTCTGTCACTAGCTTCTGTGTCCTTGCACACACCTTAGAGCAGTTTTTTTTTTGCACTATCTTCTTTGACGTCGCCCACGCGTGCACCTGCTCTCCTTGTCAACAATCAACATACGCTCGACAAGCTTTCTCTCCTCAGGCTGATCTATCAATTGCCCGATAGGCTTTACAGGGAAGTTGTCTGCATGAGAGCACAACAACACGTGTGCCTTGGATGAACGGTGCCTGCGCATCGCCCTCGGCTCAAGGTCATCGGAACCAGTGGACCCACTAGTAATGGGCGCTAAGGCTAAACCGGCCTGCTACATCTATCTCTGCTCGAATTCAAGCCTTTCCGTCGCGCTCTCTTCCCATTCAAAATCACTGTCCAAGAAGCCGCCAGCGATTCCAATATAAACCTGGCAAGGGCGTAGGGTTATTACCCTCCCCTCGGTGGCCTATAACCTTCAAACACCGGACCTTGTACAATGATGAATAAGTAACATCCAGTGATTATCATGCCTCTCCTTTGATCGTTTCTCGAAAATATCTTCAACCCCAAACCCAAAGCTCTCAAATTGTTTACCGACTGATAAGCCTAGGACACGCGTATGCGTATTTCGAGACGTGCGCCGTGTGGGGCTTGCTGATGTCGGGTTTCGCGCTGTCAAAGTTCCGCCAAGAGTCCAAAATAATTTTCGTCATACATCTGTGTTGATCAAGAGACTGACGTCTCTGTAGACGACTGCGCGTCCTGGGTACTATGTTCTACCGTGCTGGTGATCAATACCACCATCTGAGGTGTGCCTCCTCCGAGCCCTCGAATCCGTCATCGTCCTTCTTGATTTTTTGATCCCGTTCTCCAAGTTATAGGGCTATCTCTACTCTGTTTGCACTTTCATTTTCTGTAAGTCCTTCAGTTCTGAGTCGAGATAATCACGCGACGACTCCATTGATTCGAAGTAGAGTACCTCAAGTTCTGACTTTCTTCGGCATGATGTCCAAGAGACTCGGAACTTCGTCAAGAGCGACGAACTTGTCTTCTACCTCTCTTCCCTTCTAGTCGAATTCCACGACGGCAATTCTATAATTCTCTGGACTGCCTACCCCCTTCTATTAGGTGTCAATGTCATATGTCTAGAGTTCTAGCCTTCATTTCGCAACTCCCTTCTCGTATGGTCCCGAACGCTAAGTATCGGCTTCGACGAGCTCATCCCGTCCGGACAGAATACAAACACCTCAAGCCTTGTTCAAGCTGTTCCAAGCAACGCCACGCTTCACGCAAGCGGGATGGCCCATTCACCTTTGCCTCCTAGTAAGACAGAAATATAAATGGACGAATACCGGCTTGATCGTATAGATCGTGGCTATGAATCGCGATCGCGCTACTCAAAATACTCTGCCCTCGCCGGCGGAATTTTGACTTCAGGTCGCCCTCGAGCACCGGATCATTCACGATATCATCTTTTCTCCGACATCCCGGCGTATCTTGTCTTTTGCTATACGCGCACCGTCTACCAGCGTCATGAATCGTGATGATCATTCCAGTGCATTAATTACTGTGGGCCTGATTCCGTCAAGAGCGCTTGTATGATGATCATTGCGGGCGAAAGAGTATGTACACTGGGAACTGCGGCCCAAGGCGACCTCGGGGATGCTCACGAGCGCGCTCACTTGATTATTCCTTTGGGTCCAGTGTGATACCCGAGCTGCGGGGTTGCTCCAGCTACCTTCGATCCGAGGGCCGTCTTCAATTTCTTCGTTAATTGTCTTTCATTGACGTGGCCGTTGTGGGTCTCAGGCGTTTTCGCACCGGCGTCTTTCCCCGGACAGCTGCAGGGATACTCCCGCCTGTTCCCGGCCAGTCGACTCCTGCGCAAATGACTAAGTCGCCCTTTCATCCTTCGTACAGGGTCTGACAGGAGCTCCGGGGTTCAAGGGAATTCCCTCAATGGGAGTTTTATCCGACTTTATATTCCCATCATGCCCCTCTGTTCAGCGCAATTAATTTTTGTGCTCCTTTCTCGTTAGCTCCTGACGTTTTGTTGACGCCCTGGATTGCACTGGATCGCATGGTGGACATGGGACTCTAGTCCTGGGCACCCTTTCAGCAATTTGTTTGCTCGTCTTCCGCTAGGGAACGGCACGAAGGGGTCACACGATCGACCTCCACCTCTGGCCAGCGGCAGGCCAATTGGTTCATGGATCTCTCCTAGCACCATGGCGCCTTTCTCCGAACCGAGGCATTTTTCCGACTTCGAGTAGGATCGAGCGCTTCCAGCCAGACGATCTTGCTTGACCTGCTCAGCTTTCAGTTTGCCTTCCCCCCCATCCATCCCTATTTTTTCGTCTCTCCTTTCTTTATCCTATTGGATCGTCATGGAATTTACGGCAATTTTTCTGATCTTCTCGACATTCTGAGCCTCGATATTTCATAATGACACGCTAGCTTATGCATATTTCTCCTTGCGTCTTTTCCGGACGGTGATCCGCCCACAATTCCTGTCGACTCGGAGCGGCGACAGCACCTCCCTTCCATAGCAACTATTGTAGCTACGAAGCGCCTAAGTTTGTGGTACATTCCCCATCCAGATTCCTGGCGTCTCTCTCGGAAGCAAGCATACTTACTACGTATCCTGGAAAGCGCTGCTGGAAAGCGCCGTCAAGTTGCCTTCTCTACGTCTTCCAATATGATCAATCACTGCCATGTCGTACGCCGGTCGATCCGTTGACCAACGTAAACGCTAGCACTGGCACTGACGTTAGACGTTCTGGACCCTGATCTACATGGAACCAACTGTCGACTACTGAACGTTGACTCGGAAGGTCCTTTTCCCATACTCGGACTATAACGTCATGGTGACTCCGACGTAAACGATGAAACATTGGAACGTTAACGTCGACTGTTCACGCCCTGATATTCTGACGGCTCGCGTGGAATGCCTTTACCGGATAAACCCTTGTTTGACACCAGAAATCGATTCTCTCCGTATGGCGAGTCCATGAACGTTGGACTTGGCACTCCGCAAAAATTCGGGCTGGAGTTCTAGCTTCATGACTCAGTATACAAGACATTATGAAGGAAGGAAGGACGGCATTTTATCCAGGCTGTCACAGTAGTGCGATTGCATTCTCGGCTACAGAAGTTTTTCGTGTCGAGTGTCGATGCTTGCCTATTTTGAACTAGTGTGGCGCACCGACTCGCTTAGAAGGCGTCGGATGCAGTAGACAGAGCATACCTCAGCAGGACAGACTCGTTCTGTATCTTGCTTTGTTGAGCACTGTAGGGTACTTTCCGGGGACTGTCCAGTAAGCTTCCTTCCTTCATGATTCATTCTAGTAGTATGCGCTTCGAAGCTCTCCGAGTGGCAAGAATTTCAGTCGCCATGTGCTCCCCTCCAGCGCCAAGTCAACGTCTCCCTCGAGTGCCGGCTCTGACATCCATGTGTGTGCCTACTATTATTTGCGCCTCCAAGTCCAAAGCCTTGGCCAACGCTTCTTGACCTTCCATATGATATCAGGACGGGCGCTAGTTATGTAGAGAGTTAAAGCTTAAATCAGATGTTCGGGGATCTCGGAGAGACACGATCAATTAGACCACTGCTCCGAGGTTTGCTCGCCAACACTTTCTTTAGAGAAGTCCGAAGGGGGAAGCGGGCACACAAACTTCAAGCCTTAACTCAACCAATTCTACCTCAACGCGGCCTGTACGGACGCAGCGCAAGAATTATTTACCTTCTCATTCAGATTCAGCGCTACATTTAAGTTTGAGTGTTCTAAGATATCGATCTGGTGGTCAATTTTAGTCTTGAGGCCCGTTATTTTGGAATGGTCGACCATGAGCTCAGCCTTCCATTCACCAAAAAATGATTCAGATACGGGACGGGCGCTACTTCTTCATGGAAGCCTATCTCAAACTAAAATTAGCCTACATTCCATTGGTAGGGAGAATACCCGTGCTACACAAGAGAGATACTGCCCATCCCTTCTTCGAATTCTAAACATGATTGTCAGTTTGCATTAGGCATGCATTGGCAGGGAAGCACGGGGTGCAAATGCAAACTTTACATATTTTGAACCTCTAGGTTTAAATCGGAATGACCGACCACACGTCCGTCCTTCCATTCAACCATGATTATCATGATGGACCTTGGGCGTCGGGCGCTTGTTCATGGAAGCACACGCCAGGCTAACGTTAGTGTAAATCAAAAGTCAGGAGAAGCACCGGGCTGCAGGTCCATCCACTTCTTCAAGGTTGTCGTACTGTTACATACTTACCTTCAACCTACTAAGCCTATTTCACCCTACGAGACTTGGACTTTTTTTAAAGCGCAAATGTTTTGAGGGTGCATTAGACTGGAAGTTTGATTCCAGGCAGACGAAAGACCATGATGGATGTGAGCTTCTTTTGTCGGTGGTCAATATTTGGGGTAGTAGGAGAATCAGCGTGCAAGTAGTAGACTACCGTGACTGTGCCATACCGAGCCCCAGTTGGTGTGGCGCATTTGCTTCCGCTTCCCCTCGCTTAGAGCTTTGCACTTCGCCCTCAACGTTCAACGTTCAACCATGATGCATGATGGGAGTCAACACAGCCGCCATGGAACGCATATCCGACTTATTTGCCAACTTACATATTCGCGCGTCCGGGCACTTGAAGCCCTCATTAATATTGACGTAAAAAGCGAACTCTGGTCTTCCTTCGAATCCAATTCGTTCATGATCACCTCGACGACCTCGAAATAACTTCGATGCTATGATATCAATCAGGCGCTCGTCAACGCTGTAATGGAAGCCTCGACACGCATTGACACGAGGCCCACCCACTCGAGTATACTCTGTTATTATCCTAGCCCCATTATTGGCAAAAACGGTTCCTTGAGCCTGAGGTACCGGTACCTCCACCATCGCCTCGCTCCTCCTCCACCACCAATTCTTCCAAGTATCAATCATGATAATATGATTGTCGAGTGACGGCGGGGAAGCACTAGGCTCGTAACTACAAGTAACCAATCATCACACTAAAAGATAGCTATGTAGATGTTCGTCGCTCAGAATCCGTATAGCTTTCCTGATAGTGATGCTCTAGTGTCTAGCTTACTAGCCTCTCCTCACCAAGATATCTTATCTTTAGTGTTCCAACACGGATTGGGATCGCGATGGGCGAGTTGTTTCTCTCTCGTCACCTCTCGTAACAAGTAACAAACGCCTTGGATCGTCTGAAGGCGCGGAATGTGGGACAATGACTGGATCTGAATCCTGGATGATATCGATAGATAGGCGCTGGACGCTCACTGTTGACGCGGAATAGACGGATGCGGTTTGTGTTTGCGTTCGACGAGCTTTCCTGATAGCGACACTTCAGCGTATTCCGACGTCATACTCATACTAGGAGTGCTATACGAGTTCTGAGTCACGAAGATAAGACATCTTTGGCTTAACAGCGGACTGGGATCGGCGAGGGAGTTGGGAGTTGAGCCCACGGCGCCTGATTTGGGATCCTCCAACTTCGAGCTTTGCGCACGCTTGTTTTTTGTCTTGTAACTGTCATAACAGCATGACCATTTGAAGGCGCGGAAAGTGGAAAGCGGAACAATAATTATATCCTGGATGATAGATAGGCGCTCTGCGCATTCAAAAGACGAGTCAGCCTTGTGTTTGCATTCAACAACACAATCGACCCTAGCATTATGCGACGTCATTGATGCACGGAAAGAACAACGCGAACGAGGGGATGCAGGGTCGAGCGATCGCCAGTCGAAGCAAGGGTTCTCGTTTTTGTCGGTTTGTTTGAATTCCGAAGTCGACTTGAAGATCTAGGGTCGGGCGTCCTTCCCCATTATGCTTCCGTTTGTATTCAGGCCGCGGAACGTACAATAAGGTTCCTAAAAACGAACGAGCTGAATAAAGGGATCGTCGAAAGGAAGATGAAGCGACGTCATTCAACGCTTGTAGTACCGAGTCCTTTGTTCTCGTCCGGCGGGTTTCTTTGTTGGATTTTTTGTTGAGGCTGGCATCTGGGCGGAACGGAAACGATCGAGGGCGATATCAAGATCGATAGTGTGCGTTATCTCAGCTATGTAGACGCCATCCGTCCCCGGGCGCTCTCAGCGGGCCCACAGCGCCCATGACATGACAAGGACGGACAAGAACGAACGAGTTGGTAGTAGGCGGGCGAGCAAGCCCGGAAGTGTTCCGCAGAGGAAAGGGAAAGGCAGCCTAAACGCGCTCTGCGGTGCATTGTGTGTGAGGAGTCGGTGTTACTCTAACAATGCAGTGCGCACAAAGCATGCGCCAGTGGGGTTGGTGATGCGCCTTGCGGGGTCGGAGCACAAGCACGGAGGAGCTGCGCTTTGGAGATTGGAGGGCGGGAATGGATCCCACGGGAGTCGGGGTAGGTGTCAAAGGACAACCCCGGTTAGCCCCCGGCGACGTGTTCTATGTTTCCCCTGCAGGAGGTCAACCATCTAATCAGTCAGTCAGTCCTGCGACACTGATGGTTCACAAACGCACTTGCGTGCGGCAAAGAAGGGGCCCGATCCGGGGTGGGGCTGGTGCACCGCCACAGGCTCAGGGTTGCTGCGAGCGTGACAGTTGACTCACATTGTGGGTGTGACAGCGATTGTTCCCAAGCGGTGGCCGCTTTTGTTCGTGTGGCCAGGACGAGGTATATCAGGCCCTCTGTGCTGTTTACTCCCTTCTCTCCTGTTCCCATCCGTCTCCTCCCTTCCCTGCAGAGCGACCCATGTCCGTCCTCCTCCAGCCCCCCGCTGCTACCCCCACTCCTAGTGTGCCCCTCCGCAAACGCACCTCGTCCTTCTCCTATCCCGTCGACCAGCCCTCTCCGAGCCCCCGCCCACCCAAGTCGCCCAGGATGGGCTCGTCCTCCCTCCGCCGCGCAGAGACGTTCCTCCTCCTCTCAGACGCTCCTCCCACCACCGCCCCCTCCCCTTCCCCTTCCACCACACAGGCGCAGACAACGGCCCCGACGCAGGGCCCGCTCCCCTACTACCGCACGCTCGCGTACCAGAAGGACCAGCGCATGAAGCGCAAGGGCATGTTCCTCAACAGCCGTCCTCAGCACCAACCCCAACAGCATCAGCCTGCCCTAGTCCAGACACCGCATCAGGCAGTGCGGCACAGCTTGAGTAGCGCGCAGCAGCAGCAGCAACGCGTCTCTGCACCCGCAGCAGCGCGTTCAAATTCTGGTACCAGTGCTATCGCAACCAGCAGCACCAGCACCACCGCCATCTCCAGCACTGCGACTTCTTCGAGCGGATTACGGCCTCTCCTTCTCTCGGCCGCCGCGTCTACATCCAACGCCACAAGCAACTCCGGGCACAGACGCGGTCCCTCTTACCCTCCCTCCACATCCTCCAGCACCACCCCATACACTAGCTACACCCCCAAACGCCCCCGGCCCACCCCACAGCCCCGCGCCCCGACCCAAGTCATCCTCCCCTCCATCTCCTCCCCCAACCCCCGCACCACCATCATCACGCACCGCACCTCCTCACCTCTCTCCCCCACCCCACACGCGCCCCTACTCTCATCATCATCTTCTAACATTAATGTTATCAATGCAGCGAGGCCACGACCGAGGGGCAAACACGAGCCCGACCTCCTGCGCGCCGCGATCAAGATCAGGATGGCCTCCACGCCCGAGGGGCAGAGGATATTGAGGTTGGGCCCGAGGCTTGCGCTGATGGATTGGGAGATGGAGGTCGCTGCGGAGGGGATGTGTCGCGTCGATGACCGGGCCCTTGGCGACGAGCAATCGACGGACGGGAAAACGGGTGGAAGTGAAAGTAAGGATGAGGACGATGGAGTAAAGAAGGTGGATGTGAATGGCCTGAGTAAAGCCGGGACGAGGTGGGGCATTCTGGAGGTGACGAGAGATTTGGAGCGGTTGGTCGCTGATGAGGAGATGAGGGAGCGGATGATGATGGATGAAGTTGAGGAGATGATGGATATGGCGTTGGATGGGGATGGGGATGTTGTTATGGGGGATGCGACAGTTACTTCCACCGCAGCGTCTACTACCGCTGTCGACCCGACTGCTCTCGACACTACGACCGCTGTCGAACCCACCTCCGCGGGCACACTTTCTCCTGCCACCCCAACGCCCTCCTCTACCCCATCCACCTCCACAACCACCACCACACCCATCCCAACACCCACCTCTGCCCTTTCCCCCACCCCTACCTCCACCTCCACCCGCACCACACCAACACCCACTCCCACGCCAACCACAACACCCACACCACGCGTCCGCCTCCCACTCAAACGCACCACGTCCATGGCCGTCCTCCCGCCCATGACGATGACGATGTCAACGAACACGCCCGTGCTTACGGCCTCGTGGGTCGTCGTCCGCTCGTCGGAGGCGGATTGGGAGATGGTGGACTGTGCGGCGTAGGTGTAGACGCCGCCCAGTTTTCGCAACCTCAACTATAACTACGATACTCAGTCGACGTGCTACCGTCAAAGACGATGTCGATGTCCACAGACTATAACTCCCACACCACAGTCCTTCCTTTGGATGGACCGCACCGAGCGGTGCACGGACGATTTCTTCTTGGTTTTCCCCCTTTCCCTTTCCTTTCCTACGGATATGTTCATTGTTATGCCCCCTTTTTTGGTTCCTTGTCGTTTGCGTTTTGCGCTATGTTTATTGGGCCGCCTAGGCGCCTGCTTATCGGTTCTCTTTCTCTTTCTTGCTTCTGTCCTTTCCCTTTTGTGTCGTTTTACTTCTGTCCTTTCCCTTTTCCGCGACATTTATGCTTTTTGTGATTCGAGCCAACATGAACGTACACGACCTTTCATGACCCACCCTACTACACCTCAGACACCTATATCGCTTCCACAGCCCCTTTGTATCCCTTCCTCCTTCGGTCCGTTCCCGATTTACATGCATCTGTACCACCGCCCCGCATACTGCACCGTATATGCTCTCTGTTGTCTGTTGTTCACCATCTACGCACCCGTTTGCTTGCTTCGTATTTATCTCAACCAATCTCCTTCGATTTCAGCGATATGTTACTTTCGGTTTTCGGTCTACTCTACACCGCACTCTATCACTTAGTTTAGTTTGGGTTACGCTCGCACAATGTTTCAATGTTTTCGGTACAACAATCCACAATCTACAATCCACAATGACTGGTTCAACTGCATTTCTCTCCTTACGTGTGTGTGAACTCCTGACTCGAAAGAGCTCGAAAGGTAGTTCTCTCTCGGAGCGGAGGCAAATGCCCTGCAGCGTCCTGATGGGGGTGAGGCCCCGCGGCGCCCAGAAGGGATGGGAGGGACCAGACGGGCAGGTAACGCAGGTGCGAGCTCGGTGTTGGATGATCAGAGTCAGGCCGCGGCCGGTGCTGCTGGCCAGGAGCCTGGGGGTTCGTGAGATGTCCGCCGGTTGGATGGGGAGCTGAAGGGAAGGAGCGACGGGAGGATGGAAGGAGCGACGGCAACTTGGAAGGAAGGAGATGGGAAATAATTAATAAGGCCTAAAGCTGAAGAGTCCTCGCGCGCGATGATGCTTCTACTCGCACTACAGTAAGTAGTAGCGAACTGTGAATTGCACGACGATGGCGGCCCTCTGGCCAGTGGTCAAGCATATACGAGTGTGTTTTGAGTCTTGACGTGCCTCGATAAGTTCTACTTTATCTGGCTTGATCCTGAATCCTGATTCTTGAGTACGAGTCTTGACATGGACACTGGACAGGTCACAGCAGACCTCGAAAAATCGATATCTAATTAACCGGCGGCCAAGAAAGAAAGATAAAAGGAGATTTGGAGATCTTTCGTCCAACCTGAAGCTGATTCGAAAAACTCAATCGCCATCAACTTTTGAATCACAATGATGCTTACCCTTAATCTTAAGGAGTTCAGCTTTGAGTTAACGTTCTGACATGACACAGAGGTAACTGGTTGTCAGTAAATTTTCGAATGGAGCAAGGGGGAGGTATCAGAGCGCTGTAGCCCAGGTAATACGTAGAGCTGGGTGAGTAGGAAAGCTAGTTTAAAGCCTTGGCTGGGTTTGACTTCAAGTTGCAATTGGAGATTGAGTGGGTGTTGCATAGTGCACCGGTACCCTGCTCTACCATTGACCGTTGAACGTCGAATATCGCATCTTGACCTCGATGCGCCACACAAAGTCTGATCTCAGTGGCGCCGCGCGACGTTTCGCTCTCCTGCGCGCAGACCGAGAAACACGAGAAAACTTCCTCTATGTAGAACTGGAGGGAACGGAGGAAAGTTGAAACGTTGGGCGCAGATGGGTGGGGCGAACGCGGCTCTTGGACACCCCGCCAGAAGAGTCTCTAGAAGATACATTTTCATTTTTCCGGCCCAGCGTAAGCTTGCAAAGAAGAGATATTTTTGCGGTCCCCCGGGTGTAAGCTAGCGGCGAACCGTCTTTAGACCTTTTTCGAGTTTCGCTGGGACTCGACACGGTATTATATACCCTATTTTCGAGTGATGGATCATTGACACGGACACTAGGAGGGTCGGACGGAATGCATTCTTCCATAAAGGTCGTTGAGAATTTGTTTTTTTAATTCGTGCTGGGAGCTAGAAATCAAATAACTAGGCGGTGTATCTTCGGGACAAATTGACGACCTCATAGTGAAAGTCACTTCTCCCGCGAGGACTCTGAGTAGAAGCTGATCGCGTAGGCCATCATGTCGAAGTACTTGGAGAGCTCGAATGTAGCGCAAGGAATACCCACGAGTATCTTCTGGTCAATGATTCCTGATTTCCTGGAGAACTTGACCAGCGCCACCGATAAGTGCTGTTGCAACTTCGAGGAGATTTGGTTCTCTGGAGAGTTACAACATCGTCGACGTCGAACTGGGACACAGGAGCTACAGTAGAAGCGAAAGATAAGCAAGTTCGTCGCGAATGACGATGCCGAAGTCCCAAGTTCCAACGCGTCGCTTGGACGACCATCCCGAACCTCAGAACTCGCGGTGCGGGAGAGTCGTCTAGCGATTATCTCTTCCCCTCAGAAATCAAGAAGTTGCAGAAGACGATGGGACCTGAAGCTGGAGGGCCTCCTGACCAGTCCACAGAGATAGCACGGTAACTCGAGGACCGAAGACACAGGTCGCATCGGACGCCGGTCCAGGAAGGAACACAGAGAAACAACGACCATGACGAATTCGAAGGCTCGAAGCAGGTCTGTATGTACAGCTCAGTTGGCGTTACTGATCATCAGCGCGCAGTCGCCCATAAAGTCCAAGACGCTTGATCATTAGATGTATGACGAAAATAGCCTTCAAGTTGACGCTTGACGGAATTTTGACAGCGCGAAGCCCGACATCAGCAAGCGCCACACGGCGCACGTCGCAAAATACGCATACGCGTGTCCTGGTCTTAAGCTTGTTGACAAGCTTTTGGAAGTTAAAATTTGGAGTCTAAAGAAACGTGTGAAAATGATCAAAAGGGAGACCTGATGATCATTTGGATGCTACTGGACATGTTCTTACCTGGGCATGGCCCCTCGTTTGATGGTCCCAGACCGACGAAAGTGATAACCCAATGCCTTGAATTGGAGTCGCTTGCTGCTTCTTGTGTGATGGTTTTGCAGAGGAAAAACGGGGGGATGCGCGCCGCCGATGCTGAAGCCGATGTAGCATACGCTTACAGTCCAGTTTTACCGCCCACTAGTAGGTCCAAGGGTGCCGTCGACACCTAACCGAGGGCGGTGCGCAGGCACAGGTTGCGCTCTCGTACCCGCGACTGCTCTGTAAAACCTATCGAGCAGTTGACAGATCGGCTTGAGTGGAGGAAAAGTGTCGAGCATATGTCGATTGCCAAGGAGAGCACGCGTACGCGTGGATGTTGTCAACGTCGATTACAGGAGATAGAGCAATTTTTCAACCGTGTAGGGTGAGGTACGAGGACCTAAAAGCCGGTCGCAGACGTCAGTATCAGAGAAAAGTCAGATCTTTGAAACAGCACTGGCAAGGACAAGGCACCGGCAAGAGCCTAAAAAAAAAAGGAACCAAGTTCTGGAGAACGGCGTTGTCTGGACAAGGGGTGGTCCAAAGGGCATCAGATTTCTATGTGTCGCGTCTTCAGCGGTGTTCGGAACGGAGAAGGTAAACTTGCACCATTGGCCGGGTAGAAAATACGAGAATCCCATTTCGCTTTTCTGGACCTGTCAATGGGATTCGGAAATAATGGATAAGAGAGGAGGGCACATACATCCACTTCAAAAGGCCACCTAGGGAGGTCGGAATGTAACGGACGATTGACGAGGTTTGGAGAAATCATGGACACGGCGAGCGGAGAAAGAAACACCCAAAGGCGAGCCCGAAGGTGCAGAAACAGATGTCGCATTGTTCAGAGGGCGATTATTATAATATTAGGGCAATCTTCACGGGTTTATGAGCAAAAACTGGATGGGCAAGGTTTTTTACGAGTGACCTCAACTTGAAGTTGTACTCAAGAACCAGGCTGGAGAAGGAGCTTTTGAAGACGAGCTCTGATATGACAGCCAGATAGTCGAGTGTTCAAAGAAAACATTGTAAAAAGACAACGAAGGACTGAATACAGAAGGCAGCGTGGTGGGAGGAGGCAGGAATAACAGACGCGTCGTCGACGCGTTGAGGTAGAGATCAAATGCGTGTGAACTTCGTAGTTATGAAGCACTTAAGCACCCACCGTGCCTGTGCGTCTTTCCTTCAACCAGCAGCATGACAACGACAACTTGCTCAATGCTCATGTCTGCTCAGCTGCGTCCTCCTCGTCACTATAGATCACACCAGCTCACGCAGGGTTCACACCCTTCCTCCTCAAGAAGTATGTCCCGCTGGACATCAGGAGGTGCGACGAGGGCCCCTTTGTTCCAAGGAAGGGTACAACTTTTCAAGGTGGGAGGAGTCAAGCTAATGCCTGGCGTCCAACACCTGGGCTCGAAAGAGCCTCTACATGTGGTGGAAGCCGAGTGCACGCCACATGTTGTTCGACACCACTTCGCTTTGGGAGCGCACATTCGAGGTCAATAGACACGGATGCGCGCCGTGCTCGAAGTGCCGCCACATACGAGTGTCAACAGGCCAGGGTGGTAACAGATTGCCATGGATCATCCACAAGCAATTGTTTCACCGTCGAGCTGCTTTCAAGATCCCGCGCCTTTTCCCCTCCAGCAGCCGTCGCGCGCGGCCCCTATACTGGGTCGCTCGTGCGCGTCGCCGGCCAGACCTCGGGCGTGCAAGCAGCAGGTTCTTCGGGCTCTAGGCCACGAGAACTGGTCCTGCGGTGTTGATGAGGGTTCGTACCCAGAGCAAACGGGTTTCGTGTGTGTGGAGGTCGATGAGTGACGATATATTAGGAGTGGCTGGAATGCGAGGTTCGCATTCGAATTTTTGGAACCCTTTCACTCATTCGTTGGGCTTTACGTCTTCCCTCTCACTAACTTCCACGTTCATGTCAATCTTCATATTGACGCCTCTCATATGTCCTGTTTTGTTTGTCAGTAACACCTCGCCATGTCTTGTCGGTGGTCTCGCTCGGCTGTTTCTTTCGACCACGGGACACCTTTCATTGTGTATGCTGCCACAATTTCCATAATTCCGGTTGACATCGACGTATATTTCGACCGCCGTTTATAGGACGACTAGACTCATTGACCGGTACCTATCCTCGCGATCTGTAAGTCATCAGATTTTATCTTTCCCAGACTCCGGCACAGTGAAAGCTATATTTCATTCCACAGGCTTGCCATATAGTATACCATCTAGTTGGAGAACTAATGCTTCGAATACAAGGGCTTGATTCAGTATTTGCATCTGCAACATGGGACCGATGGATGCCAGGTGGCTCTGCATTCAGGATTGCCACGGTGGAGCAACCGTAGAAAGGCTTTCGTGGCTCCTGCGGCTCATGAGGAACCAGCCAGTGGATACATTGGTGTTATGTTGGTGTTTAATCACAGGCGAAAACAATCTGTTACTTGGAGATCCGGTAAGAAAGCTGCAGCGCCAACGCCGGAGTTTCCTTCTTCGTTTGTAGGAGTCACTGTTCCATCGCTTGCTTGCTTTCCTATGTAGCCTCATCGCACCATCCCGAACGACTGAGTAACTTTAGAGTTCGAGACGAATCATTAGATCAAATTTCAAAGTGAAGTTGTGTCCAGGAATACAGAGCACGGACGATGACGAAATTCCAAGGCTCGGAGAAGGGTATGGACACCTCTATTGGCACTACTGATCGTCACTGAAAGCTTGGCCGGGGTAAGGACCCAGTTCGTACCCAGCGTGCGCAGTCGCCCATAAAGTCCAACACGCTTGATCATTGGATCTATGACGGAAATAGTCTTGACGCCTGACGGAACTCTGACAGCGTGAAACCCGATATCAACGAGCGGCACACGGTGCACGTCTGACAATACGCCTAAGTTGCCCTAGGCTTGTCGATAAACATTTTTGGACATTGAAATTTTGGCTATGGAGTCTCAAGAGTTCTTTTGAGGACGGTCAGAAGGAAGGCATGTCGATCACTGGATGTTCTGTACTTACCTGGGCGTGGTTAATGCTCAAAGTCGGCGTTTGAAGGCCATGGGTCAGGGGAAGGGAGAGAATTCAGAGTGATAACCCTACGCCCTTGTCAAGTTTAAATTGGAATCGCTTGCGGCTTCTTGCGACGCTGACTAGAAATGTTAAGAGGAGAAAGAGTGGGACGAAAGCAAAATTCAACGAGGGCCGGTGGCACTGGGGAAAGCAGCTCAAGGTGTTCCCATTACACCACCGCCCAGATGCGGGCAGAGCATTGGCGCCCACTAGTGGGTCCGGCAGCGACCCTGCGCCAAGCGGGCACAGGCGCATGCACAGACGTTCAAGGCACGCCGTAGGAGTCCTCGTACATACCCACGTCTGCCTTGGAACGCCTGTCGAGCGATTGACAGATCTGCTTGAAAAAGGAGCTGTAGGAAAAGCATGGAGCAAACGTCGAATGCCAAGTGTTGAGTGTCAACGAGAGTAGACGTACGCGTGGGCGTGGTCCCTGTCGATGTCTATTTTCGGGAGATAGAGCGGCTTATTGAGGGCATTTGCCCCGGGCACGGTGGATTGAACGGCTGAAGACAGACGTCAGATCTTTCCAAGAAAAATGGTGGAGTAGAAATTTTACCTACTAAGTAAATTACCACGAATTTTCCTGGAGAAGAAATCTCACCGAGCAATACGGTTTCGGTCAAGCCAAGCCTGCAAGGGAACTTCAAAAAACAACCTCCTGCAGAGTCCAGACAGCCAGTTAATCAGAGTTCCCCCTACTCAGAGTCGGAGAATTTTAAAGGGACTGAAGAATTAATCACAATGGCCAGACGTATCCGGGGCATTAGGTTTCGGTGGTCGCGCACGTATTCAGAGATGCCTAGAATAGAGAATGAAAATTTCCGCCACTGCGCAGATGGAAGATACAGCACGCTCTTTTTACCTGCTCCAGATCTCCGAATCTTGCTGAATATAGTGTGGTACCGTAGAATGATGACCGGGAATCGGGGAGAACGCATACACCGATCTACATAACCCACGAGACGTCAGAGCTTCACGGACCACCAACGAGGCTTGAATAAATCACGGATGACTCGAAGAAGTAGATATCCGCCCAAATGTGAGATATGGGTTCGGCATCAGCAACCCAAAGGCGCCCCAGTCGCTGAGGTCCATGCCATAATCTTGACACTCGGCGTCTCCGAGAAATCGTCGCACTCAGCCGTAGATCCAGGTGTGTACTGACGTCGATTGTTCAGAAGCTGTTTACCATCGTCCGAGAGCGTTTTTGACGGAGTCAGGCCTATTGCAATCAATTATCCGGGGTGTTATAGACACGATCCTCACGAGTCGGGCCTTTGACGCATGGACTTTGGTAGGTCTGGTGCTTCGTACATATTATGATTATTTCAACAGCTTCTTAGCCATCCAGAGAGTCGCAGGACTGAGTACCTACGAGCAAAATTTTGATGAGCAAAGGAGATCAGGATCGGCATTAGGACCAAAGAGAAGTTTCAAGAGAAGTTTTTGACGACGTGCCCTGACAAGGACCGCCCGATCGTCGAACCTTCAGGAGATGAAATTCGCGAGATTGCGCAGAATTGAATGTAGGGAACGGTTGAGCAGTGGGAGCAGAAATGGACGAAGGTTGACCGGCTTGTAAAGAAGGGAGATCAAATGCGTGCGACCTTTCCAGCCTGAGCACCTTCCACACGTGCCAGCGTGTTTTCACCTTCAACCAGCAGCGTGTTGGCGGCTCTTTTGAGGAGCTGCTCGTTTCCTCCACTACCAACAACGTGTCGGTGACCTTTCTCGTCCAGAAACGCGACAACGATCCTTCATGCTCGCTCTGCCACCTCCTTGCCATCCGTACCACACCAGTGTACGCGGGTTCTTCAAGTTCCTAGGGGACGGTGAGGGCGACGACCTCTTGTCGTGTTGCTGATTGGTTTAACTACCACGCGCCCGACGGGAGGACGCCGCAGCGTCCGGAGGCCTCTTCGAGATGGTCACGATACCTCCCCACGGCGGCGGATGCAGGCTTCGGCTTGTTATCCTACTGCCAGGCCATTTAGGCTCTACAAAGTTCGCCAGTGCCACAGTGGCGCACGGGTTCAATGCAGTATATAGTCAACACTACCTCGCTGGCACCGGCACCTCTCGAGAAACCCTGTATGTGGCAGCCGTCAGCTGTAGGGTGCTTCACTCTCGGCGTCGTTGTATAGCTACCCTTCGCGGGGCGACTTGAACGTGCCGTTGCCCGCCTCTGGGATTGCAACAGGACGATGTTTCGTATCGCGCCGAACTGGCCGCGCGAGCTCGGTCCTTTGGTGGTGTTGGCCGGGGTTATATCTGGTGCGATGAGGTCTAGTGTGTTGGGGGTACATGGGTGGCCTGGAGGGCCGGCTGGAATGCGTTGCATTCAAATTTTTGGATCTTCTTTTGCTCATTCGTGGGTCTTCTCTTCTTTTTCTTATTCCCAGGTCCCACCCCCAAAGGTTTCCCCCTGTGGTTCCTCGCCCTGATGTCGACCCCCCACTCTTCCGTCGACGCGTCGGCAAGGCATCACTATCAAGTTCAAGGTCTCAAGGCCTCCCGACAAGGATGGCCTAGAACCTCGACTGTCCAGCATGATACTATCCCGGTTGAAGCTGTTGGGGAGGACGAGGAGTTCATGAAGGAAGGAAAGTGAGTGTTGCTGTGATTCGTTGTGACTTTTCTGCCTCGCTCTGTGCCGTTCCTCATCCCTGTGCTATTGTTCTTGTCAATCCTCTTTGCTGTCCACTGAACGATAACTCTTCGCAATAAATATAGAGCTGTGAGCCGTGCGTCTTATCGTAAATAATAATAATACATCTAAGTTTGATTCGTGAACCCCATGATACCCCAACGAAACGAGTCTTATCTTATCGCTCCAGTCTTCTTGCCTCTCTTCCTCCTCTCTCCTTCCCACCACTCACTGGCCTGGGTTCTCCTCTGAACGCCAGCACGCCATATAACCAACCGCCATCCCCACTGGACAAGCAGAGTGAAGGAAACGTGAACGAAGCCCCACGGACTTGCGAAGATGCATCTTCTCCCACGTGAGGAGGCCAAGCTTCTCCTGCACCAGGTTCGTCTCTTCTCCTTCAACCACTACCATGACTTTCATATTCTCAACGACCTCATTTTCACCCGATTCTCGTCCGAACAGGCTGGCACCCTAGCTCAAAAACGCCTCGCACGCGGCGTGCGACTTAACGTCGCTGAAGCCATCGCCCTCATCTCGTCGGTGCTACAAGAGCGCATCCGTGATGGGCAACACTCTGTGTCGGAGCTCATGAACCATGGGAGGACCTTGTTGGGCAGAAGGCACGTCCTGCCTGGAGTTGAAACTCTGGTGAAGGAAGTGCAGGTCGAGGGAACGTTCGAAGATGGGTATGTTTCTTCCTTTCCTCTCTCCTCCGTCTCCTCTGTGGAGCACTCAGAGAACATTGGAACTGATGACCTTCACCCAGCGTGTTCCTGGTGACTGTACACACCCCCATCTGCACCGACTCGGGCGACCTCGCTGCCGCGCTCTACGGGTCCTTCTTCCCTGTCCCCACTGTTGCGGACCAGGAAGCCATGTTCCCGCTGCACGACCTCGCAGAGTACGCATCGGAGAAGGTGCCCGGCGCGGTAGTCGTGAAAAAGGACGTGCCGATCGTTATTAACAAGGGCAGACAGAGGGTCAGGCTGAGGGTGGGGAATACGGGAGACCGACCGGTTCAGGTATGCTCCTTGCTTGTCTTGTGGTATACTGCCAATTGACTCAAGTTGTGCAGATCGGCTCGCACTACCACTTCATTGAGACCAACCCCGCGCTCCAGTTCGACCGCACCCGGGCCTATGGCATGCGACTCGACATCCCCGCAGGTACCGCCGTGCGTTTCGAGCCAGGCGACGTCAAGACCGTCACACTCGTCGCCATCTCCGGGTCGCGCGTAATCTCTGGCGGGAACGGGCTCGCTTTTGGGCCCGTTGGTTTTGGACCTCTCGGCTCTGGTCAGGGCGCTCTTCTCGCGAGCGACGACCCGATGGCGATGGCGACTGGCGACTTGACGGCTATAGCGGAGTTCACCAAGAAGCGAGACACGATTGTGCGGGAGCTGGTGACGAAGGAGTTTGGACACGTCCCGGAGCCGGGCGCGTTGGAGGTGCAGGAGGACACGGAGGTTGGGAGGGAGGCGTACGTCGCGATGTTTGGCCCCACCACGGGCGATCGGGTGAGGCTTGGGGACACCGCTCTGTGGATTGAAGTTGAACATGATGAGGTTGGTCACTTCTGGTGTTTTTGGGTCGACGAGCGGGAATTGATGGTTGCGAATGACAGACGGTTTATGGCGATGAAGCCAAGTTCGGTGGAGGCAAATCCATTCGCGAGGGTATGGGCCAAGCGACGAACCGCTCGTCGGCGGAGACACTTGACCTCGTCATCACCAACGTGCTTATCGTCGATTGGTCTGGCATATACAAGGTCGGTCATTCGACGCATACATACGTCTGATCATCGCTCAAATGACACGTTCGCTTCCTCCCTCAGGCAGACATCGGCGTCAAAAACGGAGTTATTGCAGGAATTGGAAAAGCAGGCAACCCCGACGTCATGGCGAACGTACACCCAGCGCTCGTGGTCGGCTCGTCAACGGAGGTCATAGCAGGAGAAAAATTAATCGTCACGGCTGGCGCGGTCGACGCGCATGTTCATTATATCTGTCCTCAGCAGGTCGGCGAGGCGTTGGCTGCTGGTAGGTCGTATAAAATACGATAATGAAAATCGCTTACGGACTGAATACTCTCCGAACAGGAACGACTACGATGATCGGCGGCGGCACCGGTCCCTCCGCCGGCACAAACGCGACGACCTGTACCTCCTCGCCCTTCTACATGAGACACATGCTCGCTGCGACCGACTCGCTGCCTATGAACTTTGCTTTCACCGGCAAGGGCAATGACTCGGGGATCAACGCTATGGAAGACATCATCCGCGCGGGCGCTGCTGGCCTGAAGCTGCACGAGGACTGGGGTAGCACTCCTCAGGCGATCAGGACATGTCTCGGTGTGGGCGACAAGTGGGACGTGCAAGTGAATATACACACGGATACGTTGAATGAGAGTGGGTTCGTGGAGAGCACGATAGCGGCGTTCGAAGGGAAGACGATTCATACATACCATACTGAGGGTGCAGGTGAGCTGTTTTCACTCTAGATTTTGGTATGAAGGGAAGTGTATTGATGAACGAATACAGGTGGTGGGCATGCGCCGGACATCATCGTCGTTTGCGGCCTGCCCAACGTTCTGCCTTCGTCGACGAACCCGACGCGTCCATTCACGAACAACACGCTCGACGAGCACCTCGACGTACGCGCCCCACTTACCTCATCTTCTTCTGAAACCACTCACTACCTCATAGATGCTCATGGTGTGCCACCACCTCGACCGCTCCATCCCAGAAGACCTTGCCTTCGCCGAATCGCGTATCCGTGCCGAGACCGTGGCCGCCGAAGATGTGCTGCACGACACTGGCGCCATCTCAATGATCTCGTCGGACTCGCAGGCTATGGGACGCGTCGGCGAGGTCGTCTCGCGTACCTGGCGCACCGCGAGCAAGATGCGCGAGTTCAGGGGCCCGTTGGAGGAGCTCGGTGATGTGGCAGGTGTTGACGGCGTGATGGGTGGTGTTGGGAGGGATAATGGACGGGTGAAGCGGTATGTGGCGAAGTACACTATTAACCCGTGGGTTCCTTTTACTTTCTTCTCTTCCGGGGATGTGTGTGCTGACGAGATGCTGATGTTGTAGGGCCATTACTCATGGGATATCTCATCTCGTCGGGCATGTTGCGGTGGGCACCATTGCCGACCTCGTACTATGGAGACCGGAGAACTTTGGTGCAAAGCCCGAGATGGTACTTAAGTCGGGCGTCATTGCGTGGGCTCAGGTATGGACCTTTTAACTTTGACATTTCGGTCGATAACCTTTGTCAAAAGATGGGCGACGCGAACGCCTCCATCCCGACCGTCCAGCCGTCGTACTCCAAGCCAATGTGGGGCGCCCACCCCGGCTCCGCGGCGCTTAACTCCGTTGCATTCGTATCTCAGCTCTCTATCACCTCTGGGACTATCGCGTCGTATGGTCTCTCCAAGCGTTTCGAGGCAGTTAAAGGCTGTAGGAACCTTGGCAAGAAGGATATGAAGTGGAATGACAAGACGCCGAAGATGGAAGTTGACCCCGAGAGTTATGACGTGCGGGCGGACGGTGTCCTCATGGATGTGCCGCCAGCGGCGAAGTTGCCACTCGGGAGGGCGTACAACTTATTCTAAGCATTGAAGATGAAAACAATCGGCCAACGGAGACAACCTGGACTGGGAAAGAATGTCTGCCCTCCAGTGGCAGAAAGGAACATCGATTTGATTTCTGGTACATTTGCTTTGTGCTGTTACGATGCTGATACCGCGTGTGTAGGATTACAAGATGATGAAAAGACCTCAATGTCAAGTTTCTACGTGTTGCAGAACTTCTTTACCTTGACATCCTCAGAGTTGAACCTCATTGGGGGCATGCCTACGAGCTGTAGTCTGACGTTCATGTCCTTGATGGCAGTGCGATACCCCTTGAGCGCTTCCTCGAGTTGCTTTTCGCTCTGGAAGACATCAAGGGGTCTCATAGGTGGCATTCCGTGTGTCTTCAGTAAAGGACACTCAACGAGGACTGGTTGTTTGTGCACCTCGCTCCCTCTTAACACCCAGCGTCGGAGATCGTGGTATTTCCAGTTTGTCCGGTGCGGGCTAATGGACCATAGGTCCGAGGGTGAACCTCTGTATCAATTGAAAGATAGGACCACAACTCACCCTCCCGTCTTTCGCTGCCACTTCCTCACCTGCTTCAAGATCGCGGCCGTCCACGGCACTAACGAGACCGCCTCGCCATCAACTTCGCGAATGGGGTTGAGAGGACTAGGGACGAGTGGGACGTGCGTACTCAAGCTTCGCGTCTCATAGTAGTGCTTATTAGCGGCGTACATGTGGTGGGGGAAGAGTTGCGGGACTTCCTGTGGTGTGGCTTCTTTCCTGAGGTTGGACCGCTTGCGCTTTCTAGTGATCGCCTTTTTCTTCTTAGGCGGCGAATCGACAGGCGTCTGGGGGACCGATTTGGGCCTTGGAGGGGATATTGGGACAGTTCTACGCGTGTATCCAGGAGGATGTTTGCGGAAGGGGACGGGGGGCTCCAACGCTTTGATTGGCTGCAGCTCTTCGAAGGTCTACTCACGAACGCGAGGGTCAGAGAAGGTTAGGACTTCAGCGAAGTGGCCTCACTGTTTTCGACGCGTCAAGTTTGATATCAGTTGCCTTCTCTGATGACGAAACAACCTGCTCGAGCTGTGGAACAAGGGATGGCGCGTCCACTTTCATGGGCAATGGTCAGAAGGAAGCAAAACGAAAGCTGCAACTATATATACCTGTGGCCACGAAATGACCCTGAGAGCCACCCGGCTATCTGATTAGGAAGACAATGGACTGTTGTTCGAGTTCGGTTGGTGTGGCACACAAGTGACTCGATCGCGACGCGAAATGCCTTTTCCGGAAGGTAGTTGTAAGAATTTCAGGGCGCATCGGTGATCGGCACCATTGTTGCGCAATGGTGCCGCCATTACTAGGTATAAAGTAACCGTTATAATGAAGCTATACGTACAGTACTAATAACATATTTAAAAAATATATCTTGCCTCTCGATGTGTAGTAGAGTCTGTAACCAGCGTAGAAACAATTACATCTTCAGGAAAGACGCGTCGGGATCGTGTTTAGGTTTCTTCATATTGAATTTTCGGACGGCCTCCTTGATTCCATCTCGAGTACTCGATTTATCTTTCATGGGTGTGTTGACTGGGGTCGAGGGAGTCGAGAGGGACCTCAAGGATTCCACAGAACGGATGCTTGTGTGACACACATCGAAACCTCCCTCCGAAGAAGCATCTTGAGGGTGCTTTTGACGGCAATGCTCTATAGTGGCACTCCCCCTGAATCTATCCAAGAGACCGTCACTGAACGTGAACAGGATTGTTTGGCCTTCTGGGAATGGTTCATCGGATTCCTCATCCCAGTTTTCTTCCTCCATATTGTGAGACGAGGATAAATTAGTCCGCTTTGGAGGAGGACTAGGCGAGAGAAGTAGGTTAGAAGATGAGCTTGCTGGTTTTGCAAACGGCTTCTGAAACGCGGCCTTTCTATCGAATATATCGTCAAAGAAAGACTCTCCGTCGTCTTGCACGTCTTTCGTGGACCTAGAAGTAAGGCTCTCTTTGCTTCTGTAATTAACAACTTAGATAAGACCAATGGGAGACGATTGTTTAATTTCGCGTACCTGGAGAAGAAATCGCGCATACGAGTCGACTTGCTATTAGAATCTATTCCCGTAAAAGAATTGCCGGAGGAGAGAGAACAGGAGGAGGACGCCGCAGGACTTCTGCTGACCGCTGATGACGGTGTTCCCTAATTCCACGGTCTTTAGGAACATAAGAGAAGAGCAACTGCGCATCTCACCGGAGGAAGCGCATTAGCGCTGTAGGGAGACTTAGCACTCTGTGCAGTGCGCGGGACATCCCCCGAGTTGAGGTTCTTAAGAAAGGAACCGCTTGCGAGACCGTCTCTAGTCAAGTCAAGTTGGGGCATCATCCCGATGTTAGTCTTGTACATGGCATAGAGGTGCGATGTGGATGCTAGTGGTGGGTAGACGGTGGGAACTCAATAAATTTGGCGTGCGGGTTTTAAAGGACCTGCTGATGTCTAAGCGGGTGGCATACAAAGCCATGTAATGTGGCAAGTGGCCGACAAAGTGGCACGGGCAGGCCATGGCGCTTTGAAATAATAATAGTACATTGTTATCCATATAATGGCGAGAACATCAATTGTCAATTGTTGCACAACTGGTTATAATACATGTACTTCTTGCCTTGAGTGCCCGGGGACCAACAAGTGTGCAAGCATTACTCTTGTTCCTTGCTTTAACTGGTCGCAGTCTTCAAATAAGTTTCTACCATTAAGATCTAATTATAGAAGAATTACTGGCATGTAAAGAATGCGGAAAGGCTTGCTTGATTCTCAGCTCGAAAGTTACGCGTTCGATCGCGTCCGATCGCGTCGATACTAATAGCCTGATTTGGTTAATGAGTACCACGTGGACCTCACGTGGAGGTCGATCGGCAACGGGGGTGGTTCAGCTGCGCGACTTGCCTCCGACGCCTCAGAAAGAACGAGCCATGAGTAAGTATTGTAGCTATGGGCTGCTCACTTTACTTCTGGAAGGAGACAGACTGCGCCTGCTGCGCCTCGCCAGGTTGCTTGCACCGTAAGTATCAAACATTCCCGGTGATTGGACATAGTATTCAGCCCAGTCTACTAGACGCTATCTTCGGTGGTTGCAACCTGAGGAGGGTCTGAGGAAGCTTGCAGCGCAGAATATCGCTTCATCATGTTCATGGTTCTACCTGACAAATTCCGTCAGGGAAGTACTGTGAAAAGGTACTTGCAGCGATGGCTGTGCAAACGTCTGATTCAAACAGTATGTTCGAAGCCTTCCCTCACAGCCTCTGTACCGCTATTTATCAACCAATATCTCCAGAGCCTGGCATCTCCAGAACTTCACCCTCGACGCTCCTAAGAGTGCGGAGCGAGTATCTGTTCTCCTCGGAGTCCGAGCAATGCTCAAACACTGGAAGCCGCTGGATTCTTTTGATGGCCTGTCTCAGGCTTGGCAATCATTTGACGTTCTGTGCTCTTCCATGTCAAGATCGCTGATGCGGACTCGGGTGGGCGGGATACCTATTGGGCTCCCCTTCGTCGAGGTGTGAATTCAAGGTAATCGTCCCGCGGCCAAGCTTTGCGACAACGTTTGATCAAAGTCTTATCACAATGATCATACAAATCTGAATAATGTCAACGTTAAACGCACGGAATCTGTGTCATGGCCTCAGGGACATAAAGCCGTCTTCCGGGCACTGGAAAATGCCGCTGGCCAGGAACAGACTGATATAAAAACCAACCACACGCGACGTCGATCCTCAAGCGCTGGCCGCCACCCTCCCCACCGAGACGACATCTCACATTTCCCTTCATGGTAGTTCCAGTGGAATTATCCCCCGAGAATGAGGAGTTCATTCGTCTCTACAAATTAAACCTCGTTCCCCTCAAGATCGTTGGTGAGTGTTTTTCAGCTAAGTCTTCGGATATCTGGGGAGCTGAGAGCTATATGCTTACTAGTCGCATCACTAACTTGGGTACTTCATGACTACTGTACGTGCTGGATTTCTTCGGACTAGATTTTGGGAGTCCTCATCTTGAAGGGAGAGCAGTGGTAACAGTCCGAGACGAAGTGAGTTCCTCTCTGCTATTGATTCGTCCAGGCTAATCTCGAACTTTATAGGTCCGCTACATATGGGTCAGTTATACTTTTAGATCCCTGGAATGTTGTAACCCAAACCTATTCTCTGATGCAAACAGACCCAGAAGCCAGGCTTCGCGAAATTCATGTTTTTTTGGGTGAGCACCCATCTATTCGGAAGTCGAGGCACATCTTGATGAGAACCAGATGCGGTACTACACCATTGTCCTGGTCATCTTCGATGCCCTGCAAATCCATTCATTCGCCATTCCTGGGGTGCCTAGCAAGACGGTGTGCGTAGGCATAGACCCAGTGACGCGTCTCGTCGGTGGCATCAGCCTGTGGTCCGTAGAAATTGTCATGCAGCTCCGGATTTATGCGCTCTTCAACCGGTCGAGGAAGGTAAGTTCAATTCTCCCATCGGCGTTGTCGTTATTGTTCTGTTGGTCTCATGGTCCCGAGAACAGGTCGCTCTCTTCAATGGCATCCTGTTCATTTTATCAATAGGGTTTTTCATCTGGATCATGATCATCAACGCCATGAATCGCTACAAGATGATCCAGCACGCCATGCACCTTCCCCTCCCTGGCTGCCCTACGATTAACGGCGGGACGCAGTGGGCTCAGTGGATTCCCGGTAAGTTCGGGAAACCCGAGCATAATTTGGTGGCTAAGTGGTCTCCTTGACAGCCACTATCTTCGAATTCGTCCTGTTCTCGTTCGTCATTTATAAGGCGATTGTGTCTACGTCGGCTCGAATAAGGCTGAACAAGCGGTTGTCGCTCACGGCTATTCTCTTGAGCGAAAACACTGTCTATTTCCTCGTGTAAGTCGTTCTCTTTCGAACGGGGCTAGGAAGTCTGAATACTGTTCCAGCATCGCTATTTTGTTGATCTTTAACAATTTGATGGTCATTGGAGCAACGAAGATTCCCTGGTTTGGTTTTGGGTTAGTCCTCGACATTATGTGCCCCCTCCCCTTTAACACGCACTTCCCTTCTATCAGACCCTTCCATGGTGCCGTCGGGATCCTCACTTGTCGGATGTTAATCCATCTCCGCAAGTTCACGCTGACGAATCTGGACGGAACGCTGGAGACGCAGACATTTCCCTCCCTCAAAGGCCCACCAGAGTTCGCAGGGGGTATGTTCGACCTCGGGGAGGATTTGGACGCAGATATCGACGATGATGACCAATCAAGCATTCAGTCGGACACGACAGAAGAGGGATCAATTGATATTCCCCAGGACTTGGAGAGTACTGCTGAGAGCTCGGCTTTGCGCTCACAGTCGCTGGTGCGTCATTGTCCCTCAAGCGCTGAAGTTACCTCCCCTTATTTGGTTCATTTGAAGGTCGCAATTGGAGAGGCAGGACCGTCTCGGATTGCTCAAGGGTAGAGCGTTGGCAGATCCTCTTCTGGTCCTCCATTCGCAACCAAGGGACACTAGCAAAAAGATTTTGCCTTCGTTCTTTCGTTCAGGGTTTCGTCGGTTCAACGGTTGATGTCGAGGTGTCCAAACCCATCACAACCGCCCACTCGACGCCGTGAAAACCGGGCACGCCAAGAAGCGCCCATGAGTCGGCGGTAGGAACATCCGGCTGAATGTTACCCTACTATCGCGACGCAGGATCCATTGAATATACCCAAATGAAATGATGATACCCAGACCCAAGGCGCCCGTCCGTTACTTGTGGGATGCCAGGACACAAGGCCTTGAAACTCAATGCAAACCCGGCTTAGCAACTTGTTTTAGATGTCAGAATGCCATGGTGGCTTTATCACCTTGATAGAGCTTGATAGTGAGTGCTCTCCTGTGCCCTTCACAGTCTCAGTGTGCGAAGATTCGAAGATTTGACTGTTTGAATGTAAGTAAATTTTTAAATGAGGCTGAGAAGTCCTACGGGGAAGCGCGTCGCTGACGGTGACCATCGGTTTAGTTGCTGCTTCTCTGTTGTCTACAAAGGCACGAGCGGTTGTGGATTGCGGGTCCGGAAGACATGATCGGAAGTCTTGGCAAGATTTGCGGCTTGCCACGTGCAAACTGGCTAAAACGCCCACCATCAGAGTTGAGTCCGAGGCGAAACCTCAACAATAAATAAAAGGGTACACTCACTTGTGCCAGAAATATCATGATGACGAGTGCGCTATGGATTGACATCCGGATTCCGAGGCTCAGGGTGTTCTAACTAATCAGGGGCTATCTGTCACCAGAGACTCAGCCATGAGGGATGCGCAGACTTTCGGGATCTTTCGTTTCTTCGGGCATGGCATTGTGCTGTAAGTGCTGATTACGTCAAATCTCTCAGAACTCACAAGTGCCGCGAGAAGGAAGACTATAAAGATGTCGGTGTAGAAGTGAGGTCGTCAAGCGCTGGCCGCCATCATCTTCCAGGAGAAGACGCCTCACGAGTCCCCCCTATGGCCGCTCAAGCACCAGCTATTGCGACGATTTCAAACGAGGAGTACATTCGTCTGTATAAAGGGGGTCTCATCCCACTCAAAGTCTGCCGTGCGTTACTCCTGAATTCGATGCTGCTATTAAATATGCTAGTTCAACATTGATTCTACTCTCCCCAGTCGCATCTCTGATTTGGGTGCTTCATGACTACCGTATGTCTTCCTGCAAAGCGTCTTCATACAGTTCTCAAGAAATTCTCTTGATAGTGGTCACGCTAGAGGACGAGGTGAGGATCTCGGGAGATGCTGCGGTTGTCACGATGCTCAAAGAGTCAAACCTATCCCACAATAGGTTCGCTACATATGGGTGAGTTTGAACAAGCTGTGGGATGGCTGAGCCTAATCACTGCACTCGCAGCCTCAAAAAAGAAGCTTTGGGCGGTTCATGTTCCTCTGGGTGAGCATCTGTGCAGCTCATCATGGTTGCACATTGGGCTAAGAATAGCATCGTTTCAGATACGGTACTACACTATTGGCCTTGTATGTTTCGACGTTGTCCAGATACATGGATTCGCCATCCCCGGGGTAACAAACAACACGCTGTGAGTCTATCGCTGTGTTCTCGACTTTGATGAGTGAGTTATTTATCGCCGGATTAGATGCGTTGCGGCCGACCCGACCATTCGAATGGTGGGCGGTATTAGCCTCTGGTCAGTAGAAATCATCATGCAGTTGCGGGTGTATGCTCTGTACAATCGTTCAAGGAAGGTCAGTCCCTTTGCGGCTTTACGATTCTCGAAAATTCACTAACGACATCCGCGATGTCAGGTAGCTGCGTTCAACGGCATCCTCTTCACCATTTCTATCGGGCTATTCTTGTGGATCATGATCGTCAACGCCATGAACCGCGGGAGGCTGATAGCTACGGCCATCCATCTGCCAATACCTGGGTGCCCTGCTATCAATGGAGGTACTCAATGGGCGCAGTGGATACCCGGTACGTTAAATATCAGTAGCCTTGTTTGCTCGATACCTGATTGATAATAGCTGCTGCCTTCGAGTTGGTCCTATTCGGTTTTGTGCTGTACAAGGCAGCGATCTTAAGTTCGAACTCCTTCAAGTCTACGAGGTGCGTGACGCTTCAGGCTGTCCTTCTAGGCGAGAATACGATTTATTTCTTTATGTGCGCCTCAACCGTTTTATGCATTTCCTGTTAAAGAACTCCTGATTTGACAGAATCGCGAGCCTTCTTATTTTTAACAACCTGATGGTCGTCGTAAGTCTTGTTCAGCGCGGTTCAACGGATTTCCCCCGAATTTCATCTCACGGAAAGTCCACCATCAGGGAGCCACAAGAATTCCATGGTTTGGCCTTGCGTAAGGCCCCAGTTGCTCACAGTTGTCCCGTATGTTCATGCATGTTTTCAGACCCTTCCACGCAGCAGTCGGGATTGTCACTTGTCGCATGCTGATCCATCTCCGCAAGTTCTCGATCGAGAACCTGGAAGGCAAGTTTGCGTCCTCGAAATTCCCCGAATTGAACACTGGGACGGAAGGAAACTTCGTGAACGAGGGCATACTGCGCCAAAGGTACGAATCCGAAGACATGGATTGTTGCAGTTCCGGAGACGTGGAGAGCCTTGCCGGGTCGTCAGACTTTCACTCCATTTCTACGGTGTGTTTCTTGTTCATGGACGTTTCGGCACGATTTTCTCAACTATTTCCGCTGTAGGTTGCAATCGGCGAGCCAGGACCCTCGCGTTTGGATCACAAGTAAATGTCTTGATCAAAGCAGAATGAACTACCTCGTGGTTTTTCGGCGCATGTATGGTGCTATGATGTCTCGCAAGCAAGGTCGAGGTGCTTGTGATACCTTTGGTATTTCCGGCAGTTTCTAGACCAGCAGCAACAGCACGCTAGCGCCCAAGTAGCGCTCGACGCAATGGCACCCAGATTAATCGGGTGACATGTATAGAGAAGGTCAGAGATCAGGGCTATACAGTACTCCATTTCGTGAAAATCCTAGATCTATGAATGGCGCTGAGGCAGGTCTGGCGAGTGACAGCATTAGATTAACGATGGTAGACTAGGGTAAGAGGGATAGGTGTATGGAATGGCAGTGTGCTGGATGTAATATATGGGCGGAAAGCCCGAAGGCTTTCGTGCCCGGCAGGAGCTCCTGGTCTGTGAAAGAAGCCAAGATGAGCGCGATGGGTGGGCGGGAGAACTCACTCATCGTGCTCCGGCAGTTTCTCGACGCAGGC